AGAAAGTTCTAATATCTTGTAAGTGGTGAAGATCCCCACCCCTAAACCATATATATTCTGGTTTGTCATACCAAGAAGATTTGATTGATATACAGGGTAAGACCCAAGGGGTCATCCCCACCCCCTGTCATTTGAATATGTTCAAATATCTTGTAAATGGTCAAGAACCCAACCCCTAAAGCATATATATTCCTGTTTGTCATGTCATGAAGATTTGAATGATATATAGGGTCAGTCATCAGGGGTCACTAATTCATATCTCTTTACTGGACCAAACCAATTTTTACTGGACTGCCCAATGTCCAGCGACCCTGGGAATGACTAATTATGGGAACTTTGTTTGGGAGACTTTGTAACAGCATCCTGTTACAATCATTTCTTGTTTTTCATTATACCGAAAGAATTTACAAGGTTACACATATATATATATATATATATATCCCTTAACTAAGCCAACAAAATGATGTTTTGTATTGAAAACAAAAACATAAAGCTTCAAGGTTATCCTTAATAATTAGGATATTTGATTGAAAAAATATGATTAAAGCTTTTATTTCAAAGTACATCATTGAAGATAATATCTATAAAAATTCTACATGTGCATCAGCTGGTGAAAATATAAAGATTGAGATTAAATATTGATTTTATATGGAAGCTAAAGACTTAATGGGCATACATAGGTAATAAAAAAATATCTACATAGAAAATGTATCAAAATGTTGAGACTAGCAAATTGATTTTATTGCAAAACTGTTGATTATTATGTCATATATATTCCAATTCTTCAATGCAATAATATCCTTTGACATTCGTTTGAAGGAATTGATTTCAGATGAAAGCTTCATACAAGCAGAAGACTTGAGAAAAGTAGTCCTAATTAAATCTTTTGTACAAAGAAGCTGCTGTGTGCGGTATATCTAGTAACTGAGGTATTTGAAAAATTTGATAAATTTATATCTGAAAATACAAGCTTATTTTTAAATAGGTATCCTGGCTGAAGTAATGTAATTTATCCGAGTAATCTTGATCTTTATCATTTTTATGTGACATGTTGCAGTCTTATGCCGTTAAAAAAAACGCTGAGACTGCAACATATATTTGATTTTAAAAATTGTGACAGATTCTGAAGGTGGGAGGTCACATTTGGGAATCCAATATTTCAGTATGATCAGATAGATATTTTAAGAAAAGAGGCATAACAACAATTCTTATAGTTTCTTTCAAAAATAAAAAGTTATAAGGCTTTTCAGTTTTATCTGAAATTGGATGTCCACAGTTTCAGAAAGGGTTAATTTAAAACCTTTGGCAAATCAATTTTTCCTGTTTTCTACAAATGATTTGCTACTTTGAAGTAAATTTTCCATGATTTGTGAAAAAAATTGAGTTTGTTTGTTCTGAGGACAGATGAAAATAAAGTCATAAGACATGTAAGAGGCAGTGCATAATAATCTTATTGGTAAGTTGTGAGGTTTCTGTTGAGTCTAAGGCATAATCTGTAAATCACTGGCTATTATACACCTTATCGCTATTTATTCCAATCTGGAAAAGTTCTAAAATTACACAACTCTTTCAAACCAGTTGAAGCTATCTGGGGCCTTATTTAAACAATGTCCTGTGCATACAAATTTTCAAAGAGTTCTGTTTAAACCATTGTAAACTAAAAAAAAAACAGGGTTTCAGGAGTCAAGTTCACTAAAGGCAGTATTCTTTACTCTATAAAAGGAATATGAATTTTAATCAATAATGTACTTTTCATGAATATTTTGTTGTAAATTATGGTGTGCTCTTCTGTTCTCTCCCATATGTAAGAAGATGTGATATGATTGCTAATGAGACAATTCTCCACCAGAGACCAAATGACAAAGAAGCTAGCAACTATAGGTCACAGTATACAGAGTACATTTGTTATGACTTGGCTAAAGTGATATAGCAGTCATATTTCTAAAGATAAATACTGTAGGCTGAATCACTAACACAGATTTTTGTAACCAATAAAAGAGTAAGTTTTATCTTACAGGATGAATCAGAATTTAAATTTAAATACATTGAACCTTTAAAGTACATTATTAATATTGAACCTTATTTAAACAAGTACAATTGATTCTGACTTATATACAATTGGATCCCTTATTTATCTGCTTTGAAATAAAATGATTACTTTATTATACTACTCAGCTAATTGATTGTTCATGCATCCCAATCAATGGTTAAAGGTTATACCAGCACTGGCATAGGAGCTGAAAGGTGTGTGTGTGTGTGTGTGGGGGGGGGGGGGGGGGGGTTGTGGAGGAGGAGGCAAAAACATACAATTTTTTGTAACATCAAAAAAATATTGCAAATATAAAAGAAAATAATAGAGGACACTGACTATAAGCACTAAACTATTAGCATACAGAAGGTTTTTTGTTTTTTAAATTTTTTTGGTTACTTTTAGAAGTCCCCCTCTCCCCTAAACACTGCTTCAACTGACCAGTATTTATTATGTATCCTTTTTAGTTAGTGAAATAAGGGACATGTAAGGCTTAATAGCTACTTCTGTTTTTGAGGTGCAGTACACCAAAAACTGATTTCAAGATACAAATGTAGTACATTTGGAATAATTGAATTTATTTCAAATTTTATAGACAAGGGCATGCCCTAGAAAACTTTTAAATAGAAACTGCCTAAAGCTTAGGTTTCTTTAATATCTATTTCTGTATTGATATTTACAAACTAATAGACCAGATGATCATTGATTTTTATCAATGATCAACAGATTAGTCAGATCATTGATCTCATACATCATAATCATGATAATGTTTATATCACATTATCACATTATTTTGTTCACTCTTTTTGTTGCATGTCAATGTCATTATAAAAAGGAAATATTATAGATATACAATAAATTACAATGATATCAGCAGCCTCACCTGGCCAGGTATACAATACTGAATACCTGTATTGATTACGTCCAGGTGAGAAACACCTACATGTTTTAACAATGACTTCATCATCTTTATATTACATAGTTTAAACGTGATTTATTATTATGTACTTTTAAAAAATTTATTTGTTACATGTTATCTTTATGAGGTAAGGTTTTGTAAAATTGTAGTTGAATTTTTCATAAATTATGATTGTTACATATAAAGAATTTATATGATATATATTTTATATTTCAATATTTATTTAAAGATCTTTTAAGATATTGAAGAATCTCACCACAGTCTTGATTTAAAACTTATTCTCCTTTTTTTCTATTTGATAAATGGTCTGATATATATAGCTTATCTTTTGGAATATTTCAATTTGAGAGAAAAGTTATAGCAGTTACTTTTACATTGTTTAAGCTGTCACTAAATTCAAAATGAAATTTATAATAGCTAATCCAGAAAAAGATGTATTTTGGGGTGAGGGTATTGGAAAGCTGCAATATAACTGTCTTCAACCCATCACTTAATTAAGTTGATTTTACAAGATTTTATTTTTTTATTGAATGGGAATACATGGAATAGGGACTGTTGCTCTTATATATGTTATTTATATGCATGACCTACTTGTATGAATTAAATTTTGTAAAGTGCCTCCAACCAGACCGACTTTTTTTTAGGAATAATTTTTGAAAAAAATAGTGCATGTATACAAAATTTGTATTTACTATAATTTAGCATCTAATAGTACTGTATAAATGTTGATATCACAAATTGCAAAATTTTGATCATGATCTTGACCATCAGGTTGTTATGTTAGGAAAATAAAGTAAACCTTGCACAGAAATCGTGCATTTATATTGTCCTTTGTGGATAAGAAATTCACAAAAAGTTGTAGTCCTTCAAGTTGATTAATTGATCATGACATACAGCGTTATGCAATCAGTATTCGTCATCTACATATTTTTTTGCTATACATGTATATATATTTTATATGAAACTACATTAAAAAATTTATGTTACCAAAAAATATTGTGAGGAAGTTTTTAATGGGATTTTAAAGAAGACATGTAGGTACCAATAGAACTTAGAAGCAGAATTTTCACAGGTTTATTTGTTTATTATTTTATTTAGAAAATTTTTATATATTTCAACAAAATTAAAACGTAAAAAATTAATAAATGCACATGTTCATATCAGGAGATTTAACAAAAACAACTTAAGACAAGCCTATAATTAAATAAACAGAATATACCTCAGTCATTTCTGTGTCTTTCAACGCATGGTTTGTTAAAATCCAACCATAATTAAATTGAAAATAATCTTTTGAAAAAAACTTACTTTTTGCATAACACTGTACATAAAAGCAATTAGATAATCACTAATGAAGATTTTTTTTAGTGCTTTAATGAAGTCAACTTTCTAAGTGTGTCTCCAAATACTATAGGACTAGTGCAAATACCTGTAGGTCTAATACCAGTAGGATTTAAGCAAACACCTGTCTGTCATTTAGAAAGTAGAACAAGTATTATGAATCTGCTCTTTGGTAGGGTTGTTCCCCGTTTCCATTCTCAATTTTATTATGAAGAACTGCATAGAATAAAACTGTTAACTTAACAATACAATTATTTTGATGTGTATTCTTTTAATCAAAATTATTATTTATGATAGGTTACATAAACATGCTGTTTCGACTTCAGGATATTAAAGTGTATAATTAAGGACTTTGTTCAGGATTTGGATTATTAATACAGATAGTCTGATTTGAACTTTAATAATAAAGTTATTTTATTTAGAATTATAAAATCTAAAAATAATATATTTCTTCATTAGCCTGTTTTTTCCCTGTTTAAACTAAAAACTAATAAAACTAAGTGTTTTAGGTTAAGTCTAAGGATAAAATGTCAGCTGTGTAGATCGAATTGCTTTGAATTTGCATCATGTTCATAGATGGAATGGGATATCATTTGTTCGTGAAATGGGTATTTATATTTTTTCAGGAATCAAGGTCATATCAGTTTCCACTGATCTTGCTTTATGTCCTCAGCCAGTCCACATTTTATTATTCATTAGACTTTTGTTTTGCAGGTTATGAATTTGAAGTGATCAACTATGGAAAATGAATTAACTAAGCGTGACCATATTGGTGTGCAGGATTTTGTCTTACTTGAGGATTATGAACACCCTGAAGCCTTCGTAGAGAACTTGAAGAAAAGATTTACAGAAAATCTTATTTATGTAAGCTTGAAAAATATACAGTTAAATTCATATTTCTTTATATACAGCACATGTGATGATTCAGTTAAACATCACTTGTGGTGATGATTTTTCACAGTAAATACAGGTTATTATAGTGATTCACTCTGAAATACCAGGACACTGTTGACTCTTTTGTTATAATGTCAAAGGTAACGATGGGAATGAAATCAGAGTGTCATTATAAACCAGTCATAGAAATTGGGGTTTGGCATTTACAGGACTGAATTGATGATTCTTCAAAATTTTTCTTAAGAATGTATTACAAAATTAACAAAAATCGACAAGACCGAGTATATTTTTACAGGACATGTCCTGTCAGTCCTGTGCTAATTTCGAGGACTGATAAACCTCCAATCACTAGCAATCACCCTGGTGCTTCAAGTAAATTAAGAGATATTTTTCTTACGTCAACAAAAGCAATAGTCAACAATTGTCAAAGTATATGTTTAGGTCACTTTGAAAAGAACCACTATTGATAAGTCAATATTTGGTATGTGGTTGCATTGGCTTTGAATTTTTTATTTAGCTAGTCTATTTAGTTATGTTAAAGTGTTGCTCTTTGGATTACAATATTTTCATTATACTCATGAAATTACTCACAAGCAAGGTATATCAGTGTCAACAGTTAAGCTACTGGATTATATTGTATAGAAACACTTACAATGACTTAAGAATATTGTAGCTGAAAAAAGTTTAAAAAAAAAGCACAAATTGAAAAATAGTGGGTAACTTATAAATTATGTTTATGAACATGATGAATGTGGAATTTGCAATTGAGAAGATGGGATGGATTTGCAGGAAAGAATTATTAGAAAAAAAGATTAATTGTACCATATCATCATGATCACAAAGAGAAATCAATGGAGTAACTTTTAAAGTGTCTTATCCTTTTCTTAACCTTCTACAGGACGTTTAAGTCAAATCTTTAAAATTTGATACCAATACAGATATATTTGTCATGTTTTACGGTCAATCAGTTTTACGCTGTATCACTATATTTAGATATATAGCTTTACATTGTAACTTACACTCCATGTATAAACAGCATGACTACTAACAGGAGATTTCTTGTTTACATTGAAGGTGTAGATACTGTTCAGTCAGGATATTTAGTAGAAAAGTATTCACCTTACATCCCTGTTAATCTGCATTTGTGAAAAAAAATCAGCATTTTATAAAATATTTTTAACTTTCCAGACATCCTTCAAAAGAAGTTGTATTGTATTGTTTTTTTTCAAACCCCAGGTATAAATCACAGTCATATACATGTAGTCTTACCTTTCTCCTTGTATGCAGCACTATAGTCCTCCTTATTATGATCTTAGACAGTTAGAAAATAAGCTGAGATTTGATGCACGTATCTGAATAAGTGATATTCCGGGAAAAAATGTTTGGGAGTGATGGACACCACAATTTTTTTTTGGTGGCTAATTGGGAGAGAAGCAAATAAAACTGCTACAGCTAAATGAAAATAAAAGAATGGGTGATGGTGTATATAAAAAGTGTGGTGCACTAACCCTCTTATTTTTTCGTGGAATAGCCCTAATGAAGGACTAAAATTCATGCTTACCTCTTGCTTTTGTTCCAGTTTAACCAATGTGTCCATTGATATTTGTAGCTGTGCATTGATTTACAGAGAAGATTTTTACTCTTTAATTTTTTTCTGTTACATTTCAGACTTACATAGGACCAGTTCTAGTATCAGTTAACCCATACCATCAGTTAGATATCTACAACGATGAAATTATACAAACATATAGAAATGTCAACTTCTATGAGTTGCCACCACACATGTATGTTTACTAGGAGTACTGCACCATTATATTTAGAATGTTTTACCAAAACTTATACTCTAGCTTAATCATGTTCACTGATTTTTGTCTAGCCTTCAAGAAGTCACAAAGGCAAGACTTTGGCCTGCTGTTTCTGGCCGCGTAAAGTTTGTGATTAGGTCAGTTGAGGGTATTAATGGAAAGTCAATGATATTTGGTATGCAGTTGCATTAGCATTAGAACATCTCAAATCAATGGAGATTATTTGTCCCTGATTTATGATTATTGCTTAAAATTTTACACACTTCTTAGTTATATTAATCTAAAGATCTGTATACTTTTTGGTTTTGATTCAAAATTTTATTTTAGAGATATTGATTTTTTTTGTAAAAAAGGGGGGTTTTCGCATGCCGCGCCGTATGTCAGAAACTATTTATGATTATTGCATAAAAATTCACACACAAGATGACGGGCGTATCATGTGCTCATGGTGAAGCTGTTTATTTAAAAGAGTTATGCCCCTTGGAAATATAAAATATGTGCAACGCGGGGGACATTGGAACTCTGTTCTTTTATTTGATTTTGGAACTTTAGCATAGATAACATATAAACTCAGTTATATTTGATATACAGTACTAGTTATGGCATATCTTTGAACTTGCACTTTTTGTCATGGTTCATTGCCAATGAATGTTTTACATATAAAAATAAGAATATGTGGTATGATTGCCAATGAGACAACTCTCCACAATAGACAAATGACACAGAAATTACATGTTAAAGTTTTGCAATTTAATTTCAACATTTGCATTTGACTAACATAGTTACATACAGGCGAGACATCTCTGTGTCAACCGTTTATTGTACATTTGTCAATTCGATTTGAATTTGATCTATAGTAAAGTTAAAATGTTTGTTTTGAATTGAAATCAATAGTACACTAATGAAACAGCTTGCTTCAATTAACTTTACCTTAAATATTCCTGAGTTCCACTTCATCAGTTTTGCTTTCAACACCTGGTATTTTTTTTAAACATCCAATAACAGCTCACTTTGTTTAAAATACAAAATCCTGTGTCCATGCTATGCTTACATTAGGATCTGATGACACTCCGTTTTACTTTCTGTTCTGGTAGTTATATCATCAGACAGTGAAATTTTTGAAGGTGTCACTGTGTATTATGATGAAAAAATCAGGGGATCTTTAAAACAGAAAGAAGAATAGAGTGTTGTTAGATTGTTTTATAATGCGAAGCGTGGACAGCAGGATATTTATAATAAATGTCTTTATGAAATAAAAAAGAATTGACCTGTTGCAATAATGCAATGATTAGTTAACACTTGTACATAGGTTTTGAAGTAATGGTTTTAATTTCCAATATTCGATTTATGGTCAGACTGAAATAAGAATAAATTCTTTTTTTCAATAGCCTTAAGCTAAAATACTGAGGCAAATTTTATACTACATGCAAAATATCTAAATTTAATAAATAAGAAGAAAGAAATTATTTAGGAATGTTAACAAGTGTAAGTATTCGCAATAAGAAACTGAAACATAAAATAAGGAAATAGAACTGCAACACATTCATGTTATTAATCTGTCAAAATTAAGTCTCAAATTGCAGATTTTGTAATTTTATCCAGGTGGCATGTATATATATAGGTATACCTTATGGAGTTATATGACAGATCGTTCAAATTTCTAATTATGGTGACATGGAAGTAATTCTGGTGATTGATTATTGATTTGGTATCTCAGATTATAAAACATGTGCATAGGAAATTTATGATATTACATCATTAAAATATTGACTGATTAAATTCAATGACTAAATACACATTTGTCAACTAAAACTTGACATAATCTGGAAAGGCTTTCAACAAATCCAAGCAAATATATTATTTTCTGAGCAAGCTTGTTAAGGTGGTACCAAACACCTTGACTAAAATTAATTTGGCTCATTTGATTTTCATAAAATTTTGACAAAATATTTACTTTGACCCTTTGACAAACAAAAACTTCAAAAAACTTGAACCACACACTTTATCGGAAAAATTTCATTGGATATATAGCAGTTTGACAAACACTAATTTTGATCATTGAGAAGCTTAATATTTCCTTAACAATCATTGACAATAGAACATGATTAAAACGTTCAGCTTATTTTTACAGAGTTATCTCCCTGTAGTGTTATGTACCACCTTAACATGGCAGTAAAATTTTAATTTTCCAGAAAATTGTCAGGCACATAATAAATAAATGCACTAAATAAAATTCTGATTTTACAGTATGGAAATGTCTCATTTCCATACTGTAAAATCAGAATTTTATTTAATGCATTTATCATTTTGGTTGTTGAACAATAGACAAAATTGCAAAATTAATTATTGTGCTTACAAATAATGTTTTTCAAGGCTTTTGTCCACCTGTTCATCCTTCTCATATAAGGTTATTAAGATTATGGTTAAAGGTAGTTTAACAAAGTCATAGTCCTATAAACATAAAATTTAGTACACATAGTTCAAATATTGAAACATATTCATCTCATGACTGAACAACACTGATAATTAACTGATGCGCTATGCACATTCCTGAATTAATGTGTTATTTGGACACTTGTTGAATATTTTTCTATATTTGAATTCTTTAATTAGTTATGGTATAATCATGTTTTAAAAATCAAATTAATTTGTAAGATTGAGATGCGTTTACTTTTTATTGTTTCCGTTATAGATATGCTATTGCTGATGCCGCCTTTAGAACCATGCGATCAGAGACCCGTGATGTTTGTGTCCTTATTTCTGGAGAATCCGGTGCAGGAAAGACAGAGGCTTCTAAGAAGATTTTACATTATATAGCAGCCAGCAGTGTTCACTCAAAAGATCTAGAGAGAGTAAAGGAACGCCTTCTGCAGTCAAATCCTTTATTAGAGGTACAAATGAGGTTCATTTTTAAGGAACATCAAAACATTACATGTTATACCCTTAGTTACACTTCCATTTATCAGTTTTCTTTACAATGTTCATGGAGATTGTCATTTCACCAGTAGAAGGGCTAAAAACATTTTGCTAGATTTTATATTTTGACTGTTTAATTATTTTATTTGTGTGGTAAAAAACAGCAGAAGTTCAAATAGTGTCCTTATCTGTATTGTCCATATCATTTTTCTGAACTTAAGGGTGTTCGCTACTCTTGTTATTGACTTTTTGTCAGATATTCGGAATCCTCTAGTTTTATCCATGTAGTGCCAATAAAAATTTTGCCTGCTGACCCCTACTTTTCTTTTTATAATTTTGTTACATATAGTTTTAAAAGGCCATTTTTGAAAATCTTATAAGATCCTTGTTATTTTTGCAGTTTTTGAAAGAAAAAAGGAGCCAATGTTAAACGTATGAAAACTTTAGAGCGAATCAATTTCCCACCAAATTTTCAAAAGATTATATCTCTAAAACAAGGAAACGGACTTATCATTTTTTCTGCTTTTTAAATACCGTTATTTATAAACTATCAATTTATAATAGTCTTTTAAAAAGCTTGTTATTATGAAACAGAGGAGCAAACATCCTTAAAACCATTAATGTAAGGATTAGTATATTGATTTGCAATTGCCCAGGGAGTGATCCTTCAACCAAATTAATTGAAGATTTCTGCACATCACATTAGCACAAAAAATGCTATATCACAACAATCAACCATATTCAGGGCAACAGCAATGTGATATGACCCTCTTTATACCAGTCTGACACATACATTCTGATAGTGACATACAGTGGGCAAACCATATATTTCACCTGGAGACATTATTCTAACTCTAAGCTTATTTGTATTTGATCTTATCTTGAATGCAACATGCTTATCAGAGAACAGAAAATTCACATTTTTGTCCTATTGTTTGACTTAATCTGTGAGAAAAGCAAAGGCCACAAAATCCAGGACCAGCAGTTTAAGTTTTCCAAAAATCACAAATATTGTCTCCAATGTTTAGTTATGTAAAAGGTTGAAAAGGATTTGAAATACGAGTTTTGAATTTAGCAAACTACTTATCAGCCAAACCAAATTACTTTTATTATTTAAATCCAAATCTTGTCTTGAAACGTGAGATTTCTTAAATTTTTCAGGCCTTTGGAAATGCTAAAACAAACAGAAATGACAATTCCAGTAGATTTGGGAAGTACATGGACATACAGTTTGATTTTAAGGTATTTATTTTATAGACTAGCTTATACACTGAACAGATTTGTTTATGCAACACTCAGTTGAAGTCTGTGAAAACAAAGATTTTAGATAACACAACTTGAATCTTCCTTTTGATAAGTTGCATGATTAGAACTAAGTAATGATTTGTTTGCATGTAATTATAGTTCTTAATGAAAAGAAAGGGGCATAAGTTCATGATTGATGATAACTTTTTGATTTCCTCTATAGCTGCTTGTGTAATTGATCAGATTTATTGTATTAGTGTATTTTATCACCTACTTTTCCATCAAGTGATGTAATGATTTAGGTCTGTCAGTCATTCCATATGTCTCTGTTCAAGGAACAAAATTTTATACTTTATATAATTTAAAATACATAGCTTACTCTGAGTTACACTGAAACTTAAAATAGCCAACCATCATTAATAGTTGCAATACATTTCCTGTGAATCCCTTAACTTTTCATAGCTTTTGTTTAACCTATTTTAAAGTTTTATTACTTGTTTTATGCAATAAAAATATTCCAAAATACTGATAATCTGCAACACGAGAAATATAGTTTGAAAGATCAACTTCTAATTAAACTTTTGTTTTCTGAAATAAATATTTTCATATACATTGAAAATTATTTTTAATAGTTCGTTACATATCATTATAGTTACTTGTAAAGGATCATTTTTATTTTGAAATGACTAAGAACTCTCATTTAGGGAGGTCCAGTAGGGGGACATATATTGAACTACCTTTTGGAGAAGTCCAGAGTTGTGCATCATTCAGAAGGGGAGAGGAATTTCCATATATTCTATCAGCTGGTCCAGGGAGCCACACCCATGTTACTGAGTAAACTGAAGATTCAAAAAGACCCTGAGTTGTACCATTACTTAAAACAGGTTAGTAATATTATGTATAAGTTGAGGACACATTATTTAAATTTTATATTGTTTATAAATACATTTTTGTACATAAGAATTGCTACTTAAAATAGCAAAAAAAACCAAACAATGAATGTGTTGTATTCTAAAAATTTTGAGAGAAAATTTAATATACTGATAACATATGTTACAAGGGGAATTAAAAATACAATTGTAAGACAATAGTGGGAATAAAAATGTCTGCACAATGCACAAATTTAACAACTGCTCAACCATTAAAGAAAAGAAGAGTATTTTATTCAAATTACTTCTTCTCAGAAGTATATATTTGCTATTATCACAAACAGATGCTTTCCCAATGTAATTCAGAGTTAACACTTAGTAAATTCCTAAATGTGCAATAAATACTGATATGTTCTATGCAGTAATTAAAATATGGAATTGCACTATAGTTTTTTTAAAAACAAATGTTAACTTTCTTTGCCATAGTTTAAAAAGGGGAGAAATCATGAAACTATTGTTTTCAGTATCCTTTTAATACATTTAACTGTAGTACATCAGTTTTCCTTCAGACCACATGCCATAAAACAATAGCATTATGTGTATTTATACAGGGAAACAGTACAAAAGTAGATTCTTTGAATGACCATAAAGATTTCCATGCTGTGAAAATAGCCATGGAAGTTTGTGACTTCTCCAAACAAGATCAAGATGTAAGTCTATATATGTTCTCTGTAATCATTATTAAGAAAATCCTAAATGTAAAGGACCACCTCGATGGTCTCATGGTAGCATGTTTGCCTATGCTTGCTGTTGTGGCTGAGTCACACCAAAGACTGTAAAATTGTTATTTATAGAGTAAGAGCAAAGACTTATCCACTCGAGGTTAGAATAATGTTTCTGGGTAGGGTGACATGTCTCACTGTGGACTGTTATCTTGTGAACTACTGGGAATTTATATATGATCCAGGTAAACTTATCAATCCTTTAAATAAACTTATTCTAAAAGGTTACCAATTCAACACTGTAATTAGATCTTTGAATATTGTTTTTTTTTGTATGAATATTGATTTTGTTATCAGTAAATTAAAACCATACTAAATAGTATTTTTATACACATATGCACTTTCATGACATGGGGTCAATTACTTTTTAAAGAAATTAATTACATTCAATTACAATTACAAAATCTTCAATTAAATTACACATTGCATTTGACTTTTTTTACCAATGTAATTAATTACTTTCCAATTACTTGACAAATGTGATTAAATACTTCAATTACTTTTGAAAGGAAAATTTAGATAAAATATTGAAAACATGCATTTATTCTATGATATGTATATAAGTATCATACATTGCTTTATAGTAATAACAATTAGAACATAAAATGATGTTTCTGACATACATATAACAGTGTTCAACTTATACGAGTATGTACATTTTTGTATTTTAAAATATTACTTATTTTAGCATTCTACCACTACAGTTCACCATCATCAATTTTTCAAATGTTCCATCGATCAGCCAGCCTGCACCTTTCGGGCCTAAATGTCTTTCCAGAAGTCCTGAATAAATGTTCAAGCGGTGCAGATTTGGCTGGAATAGCCAAATATTGGGCTACTAACTTAGCTAGACGTTGAAAACGTTGACAGTTAATATACCAATATAAAAGGGGGTCTTTTGACATATTAATATAATTATCTGACAAGTATTCATCCATTTCTGAACTTGCAGAAATCCCTGAGATTTTGTCATATGTATATTCCCATCAGGAGTTACATGTACCTAGGGGAATATTTATTGCTCTATATTTGGCTTAACACCTGTTTAACATGCAAACATAACTGTTGTAAAAACAGTCATTATATAGTTTATAATAAAACAAATAGCCATAGGTTATATTTATTGATTGACTATTTCCTTTAAAGTTGATAATATGTTAAATCAATGTCTAACAATATCTTTCTGAATATACATGCAGATAACAAGCTAATTAAGGTATAAGACAGTGACTTACTAATGGTTTCTTTTAAACACAAATTATGGCAAGTTTCTACAATCTTTTCTTCTTTTTATGTCCCATTTATGGGCATTATGTTTTTTGGTCTGTGCGTCTGTTCGTCCGTTCATTCGTCCGTCCGTTCGTCCATTCCTCCGTCTGTCGCACTTCAGGCTAAAGTTTTTGGTCAAGGTAGTTTTTGATGAAGTTGAAGTCCAATCAACTTGAAACTTAGTACACATGTTCCCTATGATATGATCTTTCTAATTGTAATGCCAAATTAGAGTTTTGACCCCAATTTCATGGTCCACTGAACATAGAAAATGATAGTGCCAGTGGGGCATCCGTGTACTATGGACTCATTCTTGTTTATTTGTTTTTCATTCAATACAAAATAAAGAATCTTTAATGAATTCTGGAATTCAATATGAGGCCTTCCCTCAGTTATGGCCAGGTTGTTTGAGAGTTTTATGCTGGTCGTCATAACCATTAGTACAAAATAATTTAAACTACATTGATGTTAAAGTTTTCCATAATTTAGATACTGTGGATTCATTATTATTCCTGGGTTACAATTTTTCGTGGACTTCATTGTTATAGGTAAACCACAAATTTAAAAGTTAAGGTTGTACCAAACACGTTGACTAAAATTAATTGGCTTGTTTAATTTTCATAAAATTTTGACAAAATATTTACTTTGACCCTTTGACAAAAATATAAAAATTTCAAAAAACTTGAACCACATACTTCATCGGAAAAATTTCATTGGATATATAGCAGTTTGACAAACACTAATTTTGATCATTTAGAAGCTTAATATTTCCTCAACAATAGAATGCGATTAAAACGTTCAGCTTATTTTTACAGAGTTATCTCCCTGTAGTGTTATGTACCACCTTAAAACAAAGTACAAACTTCATATAGGCTTGTATACAAACTGGGATAACCATAAAATCAAATATAAAAGAAAGTTACAAATTTCTGCTATCCAAGAAAAATGTTACCCATGAAAACAAATGAATCTACAGTAAAATAAAATTTTGTTTTTCATTTTCTATTGCAGGCTGTGTTTTCTATAGTTGGATCAGTTTTACACTTGGGTAATCTAAAGTTTGAGGACACGAAAGATGGACAAGCATATATTTGTGATAAAGCTCCAGTAGAAATCATTTCACAGGTTTGTTTCTTTTTCTCTTGAAACAACAGTTGGAAAAGCCTATATTTGTGTCAAAACAAAGATTTTAATCTTAAGACCTCTTTCCACTTTACAAAATAAAAACTTTAAGTTTGCCTTAACATACAGCGAATCCTCTCAACTTCCTGCACTTACATGCAACAGAAAATAACGAGATAAATTTTAAATTGAATGTTGTAAAGATAAAAAAAGGTTGAACATAAGATTCCAATTTTAGCCTACGTCATCTTCTACACACACATATGTAGATCTTAATGATGGATCCTGATTCAGTTTTATGATGAAGAATCAGCACAAATAGTCAAAGACTGAGAAGATACCAAGGGGTAATAAAAAAACAAGTCAAAGAAAAAAAAAACCAAAAGCACAAAGAAAGCAAAGAAAAATAGTCCACAAAACAAACCAACTAAAGATTTGGCAATACCAACACCAGGAAAAACTAGAGGGGAACTCAAAACTAATTAATGTCAGAGTTAAAGTATGTTATTTATGATTTAAGAATCAATTTCTAATGTTTATTTTCAGTTACTGGGATGTCCTGAAGAGATATTGGTCTCTGCCTTACAGAACAAAACTATTGAAGCTAATGGAGAAAAGGTTTGTCCTCTAAAAAATATGAGATTTCTTTAAACTAAACAAATGAGAAAATACATGGGATAATCCTTACTTGCTTAAGTTTCAAACATTTCTTCTCGCGTGTTAAAGTTTCAAGTATTTCTTCTCGCTTATTAAGTTTCAAACATTTCTTCTCGCTTATTAAAGTTTCAAGTATTTCTTCTCGCTTATTAAGTTTCAAACATTTCTTCTAGCTTATTAAGTTTCAAACATTTCTTCTCGCTTATTGAAGTTTCAATTATTTCTTCTTGCTTATTAAGTTTCAAACATTTCTTCTCGCTTATTAAGTTTCAAACATTTCTTCTCGCTTATTAAGTTTCAAACATTTCTTCTCGCTTATTAAGTTTCAAACATTTCTTCTCGCTTATTAAGTTTCAAACATTTCTTCTCGATAAGAGATCATTAAAATGTAATTCTGTTTACAAATTGCAATATGCTACTGATATTTTGTGCATTTTTCACTTAGCAGTATTGTACATTACATATGAAAAAGTATTATGTAGAATTTTTCATAAAATAGCAGATGACAATGGATTATAATGTATTTAAGTGTCATTCTGCTTCAAAGTATTATTTTTTTTGTCTTCAGTTGAAATCCTCATTAACAAAGGAACAAGCCTTGTATGCCAGAGATGCCTTGGCCAAGGGAGTGTATGACAGATTGTTTACTTGGATTGTCCAGAAAATCAATGAATCATTGAGTAGTAGGGTAAGACAGTTTACTCATTACTTACTTTATTATTACACAAGAATATTTCATTTTTATATGCCAGACATAATTGAGACCTATTTATGTCCCATGTATTTTGGAAATTCTAAAAAAAAAAAACATTTCAAGAGATTAAAAATTTACTTTTTTAAAGATAAAAATTCATGGCAAAAATTTCATAAAAATAAATTTCAAGAAATTGGGGTAAACTATATGATTTGGTCAGAAATAAAGTTATATAATAATAAAGTTTTGAAAAAAATATGATTTTATTTTCAGAGAAGATCTAAATGTAATCTGATGGGATTGCTAGATATTTATGGTTTTGAAATAGTTGGTGTTAATAGGTGAGTGTTACAAATTATAAAAATTCTGACATGGGGAAATATTGATCATCAATTAGGTCTTTTTTTATGACAAATTATTCATGTTTGTTAATAATGTTGTTTAATGAAAAATTCAACGCAATCATGTTAATAGGTTTTTATACCCCCACTTGACAGAGTTGGAGGTATATACAAATCCTCATATACGTCTGTCAGTCACTTTTGGTTTACAGATGATCAATAGAAAACCACATTTTGAATTTAATTGAAATTTATTTGATCACTTAAGACAAGTTAAGTTCTGTTTTTGTGGTTTTCATTTTTATCCTTACAGAGTTATGGTACTTGATTGTATGAAAAGTTAAATTTTTTTTTATTTCCAGTTGATAAATGGAGATCCCCTTTGAAATTGATTGAAATTTTGATGGGATGTTTTGGAACACTAAACAAATCATGATCTCTCAGTTGCTGCAGGCTGCAGTATCTTTGATCACTTTGATTACCTCTCTAGTTACTCATAGCTTTAGATCCTGTGAATGAAATGAATTCAAGTAAAATTGGCTCTACCTCTTAAGGAAAAAGCATTTTGGATTGATAAAGACAGTGATCCTAAGTTTGTACTGGGACATATTCATAACACTACTTGCAAAATTCCGCCATGCAATGACCGAGTTATTGCAGGGCTGTTGGAGAAAATTATCCATGAAAATTGTAATTGCAAATTTGTTCTGCTCATGATAATATTTACCCCCATAAGTGATATAAGCCTGTAGTATAATAGATTTCTACTTTATATTTTGTAGTTTTGAACAATTTTGTATTAACTTCTGTAATGAGAAATTACAACAGCTATTTATAGAACTGACATTAAAATCAGAACAAGAGGAGTACCAGAGAGAAGGAATTGAGGTAAGTAAAGTTAATTTGACTAAATTTAATCCTTATATAGAAAGGGATATTCTATTTGAATGGATGTAAAGGGTATGAAGAGAAGTTTTATTTTTTGGACATGGTTTTGGTTTATTAATGGTTGTTTTTGTCTATTTGATGTATGCAAAATACTCTTATAAACTTACGTTTGTTATGGATAGACTTTGGAAGTCCCTAACAACCCACATCCATTTAAATGGAAAAACCCTAAAGTAAATTTGACTAAATTTCAACCCTATCATTAAGACTGCATATAATTCATTTGGGTCTTTTTTTCTATTTCAAGGGACATGTTTTGTTTCAGCAGTAATTTTTTGACATGATTCTAATTCAAAAGCATGCATATTTTAATTAGTTCAATCTTTGGTTAAAATGTAAGTTAAAAGTTGATTACTAGTAAAAAATAAAAGGGGACAATGGATCTCTGTCTAAAACCATTGTATGAACCTTGAAATAAATGTGTATTTTCATGTTCATAGTTACCTAATTTTATGTTTCAGTGGGAACCAGTACACTATTTTAACAACAAAATAATATGTGATCTTGTGGAAGGTAAACCGATTGGTATCATCACATTGCTGGTATGTATTAAAAATTTTACATCTGTTCTACGGTAATAATATTCTTTCAGAATTTCAACAATTAAGACATTCAGGTATTGTTAATAGTTAAAAGAAACATGCAACAATTTGAAAAGAAAACCACTAACTCAACTTTTCCAAATTTAAAAGCAGAAAATTGAAATATACATATTTTTTCCAACCATTTTTCATTTTTAAATGGATTATATCAACAACACTAATAAGTTTTATGTGTTTTATCATTACCACCCTGCATATCCATGGTATCCACTTCATTAGACGTTGGTTCACTCGCATCCATGAAGATATAATAAAGGATAGAAAAATCCCTGTTCTTAGTTTACAATTATTAAACTATGCCATGATGCAAAATTGGTCCTAAGAAAGATTTCAGTAATACTTTTTGTAAATTGATTGATTGTTGTTTGCTTAACATCCAATACCATTAGTAAGTTGAAACTTTTGGGTAATGATTTAATGTGCATAAATGAGATAGTTGTATAAGACAGGGTAGTAAGTACTGGTACTTGTGTTGTGAAACAGTCTTATTTTCAGACTGTCAAGTTTACACTTTACTTGAGTGACTGGGGCTCTTTTCACAAAAAATACTCGTAAGTCATGAACATTTCAGTATAACTTACGATCAATTTTAAATGTAAGATATTTTGTGAAAAGAGTCGCTGGTTTAAGAAAAGCTATTGCCGAAAATATTTGACAATTAATATAACATCTAAATACCAAAATTAGCATACAATTAATCACTCTGACAAATTTATTTCACAGGATGAGGAATGTTTAAGACCAGGTGATACTACTGATATAACATTCCTAGACAAACTATCTGAGACTATTGGGACACACCCACATTTCCTGTGCCATGCAAGAGCAGATAACTCTACCAGGAAGACCATTGCCAGAGATGTGAGTACATGTTTATATGTTTGTTAGTCCCAACCCCTCCCATGAGCTGGGACAGTGGTGTAATAATACAACATAAGAACATGCTGTAACCATCAATAGGAAAGGGCTTGACTCCTCAGATTGGTACTAAGCACAAACCAAATTGAAGTTTCAATGAATTTGAATCAAAATTAAGTTAGAGAACAGGAAAAAGATAAAGTTCCATGTATAATCTACTTCATTTACCTTAAAAGTCAATGTAATGAAAAAGAATAACGAATCCAAGAACTCAAATATTGAAAAATAATCGCTGATTGATCTAAAATCCATAGCAGTCAGTCACCATGACCTTTCAAATTTCTTTTATGATTATTTTATAATTCTTTATTACAGGAGTTTAGACTCATCCATTATGCTGGGGAAGTAACATATAATGTCAAAGGTTTCTTAGATAAAAACAATGATCTGCTGTTTAGAGATTTAAAAGAGGTAAGAACTAAGTAAGATAATTTATTGTTCAGAAATTTTAATAAGTTATGCATAGGTTCCACAAATCAGCTGTTACTTTGAATTTAGAAATGTTTGCCATGGGTTTATAATGCAAAAATTGTGACTGGACAGATTTTACAAAAATAAAAACTTGCATTTTAATTTTTTTAGCCTCGATTCTATGCAGGATTTCCTGAAATAATAATAAGTAAACTCACATGTTTGTCCTTTGTACAACTATCACACTTAGTCTAATAAATCCTCTCAAAAATTTCTAAAATATCAGTATTCAGATGTCTAAAAAAGGTTTCAATCTATGGAAATATAGTTACAGTCTTTTAAAATGTTAAATAGTTTTAAAATGTTATATTTTATGACTATACCACAGTGGAGATTCTGTTAAACATTACAGCTTCTCTAAATTGTACCGATTTTCAATAATGATAACCAGATTTAGTCTGTTTCCAGTAAAATTATTCTGTTTCCAAATGTATAACATATATAACCATGTGTTTATAACAAGAATAGCCAGTATGAGGTTTACATTACAGGCTATGAGTGAGACATCCAATCCTATTTTGTCCAAATGTTTCCCTAAATCAGAGTTGTACAACAAGAAGAGACCAGATACTGTAAGTTTAACTCACAAAAAAAAAAAAAAAAAAAGTTTAACTCACTGTTTCAGAATTAAAGGACTATGGGTAATTTCCTTGTTCCTACCTTAAATGAAAAAAACATTACACCTTTTTAGCTCACCTGGCCCAAAGTGCCAAGTGAGCTTTTCTCATCACTTGGCGTCCGTCGTCGTCGTCCGTTAACTTTTACAAAAATCTTCTCCTCTGAAACTACTAGGCCAAATTTAACCAAACTTGGCCACAATCATCATTAGGGTATTTAGTTTAAAAAATGTGTCCGATGACCCCGCCTGCCAACCAACATGGCCGCCATGGCTAAAAATAGAACATAGGGGTAAAATGCAGTTTTTGGCTTATATCTCTGAAACTAAAACATTTAGAGCAAATCTGACATGGTAAAATTGTTTATCAGGTCAAGATCTATCTGCCCTGAAATTTTCAGATGAATCGGACAACCCGTTCTTGGGTTGCTGCCCCTGAGTTGGTAATTTTAAGGAAATTTTGCCGTTTTTGGTTATTATCTTGAATATTATTATAGATAGAGATCAACTGTAAACAGCAATAATGTTCAGCAAAGTAACTTCTACAAATAAGTCAACCTGATCAAAATGGTCAATTGACCCCTTAAGGAGTTATTGCCCTTTATAGTCAATTTTTAACCATTTTTCGTAAATTTTTGTAATCTTTTACAAAAATCTTCTCTGAAACTACTAAGACAAATATAACCAAACTTGTCCACAATCATCATTAGGGTATCTAGTTTAAAAAATGTGTCCGATGACCCCGCCCGTAAACCAAGATGGCCGACATGGCTAAAAAATAGTACATAGGGTAAAATGCAGTTTTGGCTCATATCTCTGAAACCAAAGCATTTAGAGCAAATATGATGAGGATAAAATTGTTCATTAGGTCAAGATCTATCTGCCCTGAAATTTTCAGACTAATCAGGCAACCTGTTGTTGGGTTGCTGCCCCTGAATTGGTAATTTTAAGGAAATTTTGCCGTTTTTGGTTATTATCTTGAATATTATTATAGATAGAGATAAACTGTAAACAGCAATAATGTTCAGCAAAGTAAGATCTACAAATAAGTCAACTTGACCAAAATGATCAGTTGACCCCTCAAGGAGTTATTGCCCTTTATAGTCAATTTTTAACCATTTTCGTAAAGTTTTGTAATCTTTTACAAAAATCTTCTCCTCTGAAACTACTAAGACAAATTTAACCAAACTTGTCCACAATCATCATTAGGGTATCTAGTTTAAAAAATGTGTCCGATGACCCCGCCCGCGAACCAAGATGGCCGACATGGCTAAAAAATAGTACATAGGGTAAAATGCAGTTTTTGGCTCATATCTCTGAAACCAAAGCATTTAGAGCAAATCTGATGAGGATAAAATTGTTCATTAGGGCAAGATCTATCTGCCCTGAAATTTTCAGACCAATCAGGCAACCTGTTGTTGGGTTGCTGCCCCTGAATTGGTAATTTTAAGAAAATTTTGCAGCTTTTGGTTATTATCTTGAATATTATTATAGATAGAGATAAACTGTAAACAGCAATAATGTACAGCAAAGTTAGATCTACAAATAAGTCAAATGACCAAAATTGTCAATTGACCCCTTAAGGAGTTATTGCCCTTTATAGTCAATTTTTTACAATTTTCATAAATTTTGTAAATTTTTGTAAATTTTTACAAAATATTTTCCACTGTAACTACCGGACCAAGTTCATTATAGATAGAGATAATAGTAAGGAGCAAGAATGTTCAGTAAAGTAAGATCTACAAACACATCACCATCACCAAAACACAATTTTGTCATGAATCCATCTGTGTCCTTTGTTTAATATGCACATAGACCAAGGTGAGCGACACAGGCTCTTTAGAGCCTCTAGTTTTGAATTTACATTGTTTTTTTCATGTTTTTTAACCAATCACAAAGTTTTGGTGTACACATTTGAAAATATTACCAAGACTGAGTTGGATTCTGTAAAGGTAAATTCATAGTCCTTGCGTTCTGTATTTGTTTCAGAATTTTTCTCAGAACAAATGTAACAATTCAAAGAGTTTATTTTTGATATTTGCTTTTACTTTCTGAACAAAAATCATGTTGCTTGAGAGTTCTTTAATGAAGGGAATTAAAACATTTAGAAAGTGATTTTTTTCGATTGATTAAATATTCAAATTTATTACATCGAATCACACTGTTGATTTGTAAGCTCTTTTAACTTTTATCATGTTTATCATGCAGTGTGAAAATCAGTAGTGTCTTTCATCCACCCCTCATATTTATTGCTGAAACAGTTCAGGTAGAATAGTCAGAAATTAATAGCAATGATAAAGTTAGATAGTCACATGTTGTCAAAAGCGTATACCTTGTTTTATAAGGAGAGCTCTGTATATTTCAGGCAGGGACCCAGTTTAAAAATAGTTTGTCACAGCTGATGGTTATATTGATGTCAAAAGAACCTTCATATGTCAGATGTATTAAACCTAATGACTTCAAAATGAGAGGTTAGTTTACAATTTTGCCTTCCCTAAGAAATACTAAGTTCCCAAATTTCCGCTAGTGTGATTTTTTTTTAACAGATCTTCTGATCTCCTTTCGAGCCTAATATTCACCACTGAAAGCAGAAACATTTCCTCTATTTTATAGTCCTTATGAATATCTATAATTTCTGGTTTTTTTTTTAACTTTTTATAAGGACTTTAACCAAAAATTGGGATGTATTATGAAAATTTCATGAAAATTGGGCTTGATCAAGACCATTGAGAATATTTTGAAAAAAAATTGTTTTACACAGAATATAGAGCAAAAGAAATTGTCTTGGGAATCTTAATTTGGATTATGATGTTATGCTTAACCAAAAATTGTTGTTCTCAGTGTTTAAGGCAGTATCAACATATATACAATAGAAATATCTTCAAATTTGTAACTATAGTAAGTAGGACAGAGTAGTTGCTAAATTCCAGCTTGAAGTCAAAGTTGAAAAACACTGGAAATTCTTCTTTAATTTGATTGAAAACTTCTTGTGCTCAAATTATAAATGACTCTTGTTTATAATTCAGTTTAGAGTACAGTGGATTCTTCTATTTTCCTGGGTACCAATTTTCAAGGTTTGAGGAAAACTTTCATTTTCATGGAAAATTTGATTTTGTGGTTTTGCAAAAGTTTGTATACAACCCAACAGAAAATTCGTTGAATGTTTAGATTCATGGTTCACCCATGAAATCCTTGTAAGTTAGTTAGCCAGGAATAATAAAAAAATCACAGTTAGACAACAATATTTAATTGAATACTGATATAGTTTCTTTTATTTACAGGTGTTTTTGATGAGAGAATTGTGCATCATCAGGTGAAATATTTAGGTCTAATGGAGAACCTTAGAGTAAGGAGAGCTGGCTTTGCTTACAGGAGACCTTATGAAGTCTTTCTCAGAAGGTAAACTCATTTTCTTTAAACATTTCTTTGACCTTTTTTATGAGTTAAATGCAGATTTTTGTAGGTTTTAAATAATAGGAATGCACATGATGAAGTCCATCACCTTGCAACAAATAAATTTGGCCAGTTATACAACATACTGTAAGTATACTGCTAATGTTTTACCCAGTTTATTTAGGGACTTGATGCTTCAAGTTTTTGGGTAAAGATTGCATGTAATGCAATCAAAACCCTATGGTGCTGACTTGATATTTATATCTTCCTAGGCTGATAATACCTGTGATACTTCAAACAAAATAGTGCAGTGAAGTGGTCATTAGTTAGATCCTATCCATTCAAAGTCATGCAATTTATTGATGATATGTCATAATTTGATATTTAAGTTATAATATGATGTGTATTTGAATTACCATACTTATCAAGAAAACATTACGTAATGTATGGTGTATGAATCTGTTATAAAAAATAGGTTGAATACAAATGTACAATCATGCACAAAGAAAGATAACTCTAATTCATTTTTAGCTCACCTGGCCCAAAGGGCCAAGTGAGCTTTTCTCATCACTTGGCGTCCGTCGTCCGTCGTCGTCGTAGCCCGTCGTCGTTAACTTTTTACAAAAATCTTCTCCTCTGAAACCACTGGGCCAAATTTAACCAAACTTAGCCACAATCATCAGTAGGGTATCTAGTTTTAAAAATGTGTCCAATGACCCAGCCAACCAACCAAGATGGCCGCCATGGCTAAAAATAGAACATAGGGGTAAAATGTAGGTTTTGGCTTATATCTCTGAAACCAAAGCATTTAGAGTAAATCTGACAAGGGTAAAACTGATAATCAGGTCAAGATCTTTCTGCCCTGAAATTTTCAGACAAATCTGACAACCTGTTGTTGGGTTGCTGCCCCTGAATAGGTAATTTTAAGGAAATTTTGCAGTTTTTGGTTATTATCTTGAATATTATTATAGATAGAGATAAACTGTAAACAGCAATAATGTTCAGCAAAGTAAGATCTACAAATAAGTTGTCATTACCAAAATTGTCAGTCGACCCCTTAAGGAGCTATTGCCCTTAATAGTCAATTCTTTTACAAAAATCTTCTTCTCTGAAACTACTGAGACAAATTTAACCGTACTTGGCCATAATCATTATTAGGGTATCTAGTTAAAAAAATTTGTCCGATGACCCCGCCTTCCAACCATCATGGCCGACTTGGTTAAAAATAGAACATAGGGGTAAAATGCAGTTTTTGGTTTATATCTCTGAAACTAAAGCATTAAGAGCAAATCTGAAATATGGCAAAAATGTTCATCAGATTTAGATTTATCTGCCCTGAAATTTTCAGACGAATCTGACAACCCGTTGTTGGGTTGCTGCCCCTGAGTTAGTAATTTTACAAAAATTTTGCAGTTTTTTGTTATTATCTTAGATATCATTATAATATCTAATATCTAATACTATTAATTATGATATTAACCTTATTTTACATGATTTCCAAAGCATCAGTAAATCCAGGTGAGCGACACAGGCTCTTGAGAGCCTCTAGTTTTAACTTACCTAGCTAGATACAATTCAATGTTTTATTTAAAAATTCACAGAATTGTAAAATGAAAGCAATCTTTACCCTTCAGTGCTCACAAGTGCTTTGATAACTTTTATTTAAAGACCATATAAAACTTTTAAAACTAGACTAAAATATTTCCTTGTTTTAAACATATGAAAAAAAGGGAGGAGTTGAATATATGTCAATGTGACAGCAACCTAAGAAAACAAGAAATAAGATAAAGACATCTAGAAGTTAACATTTAGTCTTCAATGAAAGACAGGTTCCCATAAAACATGTCATTATAAATCATGTTTAAGGCTTATAAGCTGTAAATGAATTCCATATTTTTTTCTAATTATTAAAGAAACATGATAATGAATATTGAAATCTTACAAAATTAAAACATTGGAATTAATTTTTTTTTAAGGTATAAATGTTTATGTCCAGAGACATGGCCTCACTACAGAGGTTCAGCCAAGGATGGTGTAGAGATATTGGTACAACATCTAGACTATGATCCAGAGGAGTTCAGACTTGGCAAGTACGTATACACTTTGAAAAAAAGGATTGCAATATTGTTGATAAGTGGATTATGGCCACATGAACATGTTCGTTATTAAATGTAGGTTAGATAGTCTTGGATAGAAAAGAAAATTGAGGTTGATAAATCTTGAAATTTAGCAATTGCCTTTACACAACAATTGTGTTCCCTTTAACTGTGTTAAATAGATATATATTAGAAAGTCTCTGATAGAAAATAAATAAGGTTGAAAAATCTTGAATTTTTGCAATGGCCTGTACAGGACAAATTGTGTTTCTCTATAATTGTGCTAAAGTAATATATATTTGACATCATACAGTTATATATATATATATCTTTATTCTCAATAAACCATATACATAGGTATAGAGAAGACATTTATGTACAATTTTTACAATAAGACAGAACAAACCAGACAATTGATAAGACAATACATGAAATAAATTTTAGCCAGGAGCACATATACCTGTGTTGATAATCTTTATAAATTTACAAAGTTTAATCAGTTTTGATTTGTGTTTTGAAGACATAATCTGCTTGTACTTAACAATATTTGCATTTTTAAAATAATAATGTGACATACAATGTTTCCTGTTTTCTTCAAAGTATTTACATTCTAATATGTAATGAAATTCATCACCAATGTCATTTTTATTACATAGAAGACACAGTCTATTATTTCTAACTATATTGTTCCATCTACCCTGTTCAATAGAGAGCTTGTGATTTGTGGTCCTAAATCTACACAAATCAATAGATAGTTTGTTCCCAAGAATTTCAAAATAATCTTCTTTTCCAAAAAAATCTTTAAAAAGTTTATAATTAAGTGCTTTTGGTGAGTTTTCAAGCAGAGAATGCCAGACTTGTACAAACTGATCTTTAAGTCTTAGCTTGATGAATGAAACTAACCATTTGCAATTTATAAATGACTGTGTTTCCCATACATTAGGGATACCACATTCATTTAAAATAGTCTTAACTCTGTTTAACCATGAAAAATTCACATTTTCATTAATAGACATGTGATAACACAATTTATATAAAGTATATGATAGTTTGGTCACTTTACCAGAATTTAATTTCCCCCAAAATGAGATCAATCTAGTTTTTATGTCCAAGTCTATAGGATATCTTCCAAGCTCCCCATAAATCATGTAAGAGGGTGTTGATGTTTTCAGACCTAATAATAATTTACAAAATTCCAGTTGTACCCTTTCAATTATGTCATTATTTCCAATACCCCATACTTCACAACCGTACAGTAATATTGGTTTCACCATTTTATCAAATAAGTCCAACTGACTACATATAGAAAGATTATGAATACGACCTAGTCTTAACACTTCGTAAAGAGCCTTAGTGGCCTTTTCTACGTTAAATTGTTTTGTTTTATTAAAATTGCCTGTTCTTGTTAGAATAATGCCCAAGTAGTTAAATTCATCAACGATATCCAGTTTTTTTTCATTAAAGAAAAATTGAAAATTACATGATGGTTGTCTCCTTGAAAAAACCACGACCTTTGTTTTATCAACATTTACTTTTAGCCTCCATACATCTGTGTAATCTAGAAAACAATCTAATAGTTTTTGGAGTTCAGTTGTGGATTCGGCCATCAACACAGTATCATCAGCATACAGAATAATAAAAAGTTTTAAAATATGTCAAGTTTTTCTTCAAGCTCTGTTGACACTGATTTAAGGCCCTCTATATTACAGGTTTGCAAAAATCAAGATCATTCAAAAATAGAGAAAAAAGAAAAGCCGATAAATTTTCGCCTTGTCTAACCCCGTTACTACATGGGAAAAAAATCAGACATGGAATTGTTATATGAAATACACGACTTAGTACCTTGATACATATTAACAATTACATTATACATACATCCATTCATATTATTCAAAAGCATTTTGTACCACAGTGCGTCTCGCCAAATTGTGTCAAACGCTTTTTCAAAGTCGACGAATGCACAAAATAGTTTTTTCTTTTTTAATTTTAAAATTTCAAATAATGAATGAATTACAAATAAATTATCAATTGTTGAATAACCCTTTCTAAAACCACATTGGTTTTCGTTTAAAATCATAAATTCTTCAGAGAAAAGATTTAGTCGCTCGCATAAAATTGATTTAAAAAGTTTCCCCATATAACTCAAAATGGTAATAGGTCTAAAATTTTTGGGGTCCAACTTGCTACCTTTATTTTTATAAACAGGCTTAATGTAACCAATTAACCAACTGTCAGAAATAATACCAGTGCGAAATATAACGTTAAATAATTTTTCGTATAATTCAATGAATATACCAGATGACGACAATTTAGTAATAGGGATGTCGGGTTGGTCTCTTTTTTTTCTACTGTTCAACAATTTCCAATACTCTTTTGAGTTATTGGATCTCAATACGTTTATTTTTTTAGCCATTTTTTTTCTATGTGCAATAATTGCTTTATCTAAAGTTTTTTTGTATTGTTTCTCCGAAGATTTCATAATTTGGCAGTTTTGTTCTGATCTATTGTTTTTAAATTTTCTTTTGAGCTTGCAATAATTTTGGCGAGCAAATTTACAGTCACTGTCAAACCATTCTTTATCCAATTTTACTGGCTTGTTTTTAGATTTCTTTGAACCACTAGTTTTAGTAACCCCAAATGTTGCCTTGACAGAGTCCAAAAATAAGTCACACATGTTATCTACAATCATGTTCAATTAATTTTTTTTTCATATTTGCTTCAACTTTATCAATTTCTTCAATTAGAGCGTATACTCCTTCCACATCTATCCCATTTTGAAAATCTAAAGTTTTATCATTGTCCCACTTTTTGATCTTTTCTGGACGGTTACATGTATCTGTTCCAGCATTTAAACACTGATTGTTTTCAACATCTTGCTTAGTGCTCGCCAAAGTTATCTCTAATGGGGAATGAACATCAGAATATAAAGTAGAAAACTCAAGTACATGAAAATTAGTAAAATATTTTAACATCTCAGCACTACTAATACAATAATCTACAATACTGCTATTTCTACATGTTAATTTACCATACTGTCTATCATCACCAATTCTACCATTTACAATAAATAAATTGTTTCCTTTACATAAATCTAACAATCGTTTCCCGTAGCCATTTTTTACCCTGTCCAAAGAATTTCTTTTCTTTGGTATATTAAATTCATCAAGCATATACACTTTATTCTCTATAAAATCGGTTAGATTATTGGTATGTTTATCATTATGTATAATAATAAAATCGTCGTCGTCTGCTGTTCGTCCGTTAAAATCTCCTAGTAATGACACATATTTATAAGTATTAGAAAAAATAATATATTCATTTTCTAACTGACTGTAAGCATCTTGAGATGAGTAGTTTGTGTATTCTGGAGGAATATATACTATGCCAAAAACTATATCATCGTCAATACTAAGTAAATCTGACGATACTTTGAACCAAAGAACAAACTGACTGTCAGTTGTTAACCCTTTAATTTTATTTTTATTGCAGTTACAGTGATTGTTGTTGGGACATTGTTCAATCAATTATGAAAAGGAGTAAATTAATGTTCTGTAATGGGATTTCTATTCATTATGTTAGCATGAAAAAAAACAATTAATAATGGTCATTGAAAATTTCAGAAGTTCTAATTAGCTGACCTGGCAACATTTAGGGTCTGGTTTAAGACCATAACATTTGAAATATTTTTTTTTCATTTAACAATTTTAAAAACAAAAAAGCATAATGAACTCTTGAACTTTTAAGTTATTTTGTTAAATTAGGTACTTTAATGGTTCTTTTATTTTCTGTGCAAGTAATGTTTTAATATAGATTTATGTTTTTCGTATAATTGTAGGACAAAGCTGTTTATAAGATTTCCTAGAGTACTGTTTGCAACAGAAGATGCCTTCCAGCACAGAAAACATGATTTAGGTAATAACAAATCCTGTTTTATATTCTTAACTGATAATTCTAGCAAAGAAAGAAACATTTATTAGTTCTGCCTCTGACAAAAATCCTGGTTCAATTGATCAATCTTTTCTGTGTTTAGTGAATTATATTCAGTATTTATACAAGTCAGTTTAATGACTCATAGAACAGCAAATATTTTGCTCTTGTATTAAATACTAGGTTTGAATTCTGTTAGACATCAGAGTCTTGATGACTTTTTTGTTTTTCGGTTAAATGTAAGCCTAACTGCCATTAGCTATGTTTGATGAGGGTTATATGATTAAAGGTCCTTGTGTAAGCCCAAACTGCATGTTTGGTATTGACTTTGACCTTCTTTGAAAATATTAGCCTCGTCATGATCATTATAAAGGTGATATTTGAGTGTTGACCCTAGTAGGTCTGTAAATCATTGATAATTAATTGTAAAATTACAGTTGCTTATCAAAATCAAAGTGAACCTGTTGGTATGTATTGAAAGTATACATGCATTTATATTCAGCCTTGTATCTTTTTAGCGACAGCTGTGCAGGCACAGTACAGAGGGTTTGCACAGAAGAAGAAATACAAAAAACTTAGATCTTCAAGTAAGAATGAATTACCTAAATGCTTAAGAATAATAATATTAATATGACATTGGTCAGGTTCAATGTGAGGTCAAATGAGAAGACATTCTAGAAAAAATATAATTATTAAATAAATCAGAAAATCAATGGTTTTATCATTTCATTCAAAAAATGATCATCGTTATCTCAATAATATACACCAAGAAAGAAATGAAAAAGAATTTGTTTATTATTTTTTTTTGTGTTTCATAGACAGTTAGTTTATTTATTTAATGATTTTACAGGTGCATATCCAGGATGTTTGCTGAAATAAAGCAGTTGTGGGAGTTAAAAAATCGGAAAAATGCACTAAAAAATAACACAAATTTTTAGCTAAAAACAGGGACAGGGCTTCCCTGAATATGTCCATGTTTTTCCTGATATACAGCTAAATATATGAACAAATTATATTTAGTATTTATAAGAGTGAATATTGAAATGCTGATATCTTTTAAAATTAATGCCTTTTGTAGACATTATACATTGTCCAAAGAGGAGAAATATTTAACAAGGAATTTCATATACTGTGGATTCATTATTATTTGTTGGATACCCTGGAACCACAAATTTAGATGTTCAATGAAATGCAAATTTTCTATAAGAATTTATACAGACATTGTTAAAACCACGAATCAAATATTCACAAACATGCATGTATACCTAGATCCATGAAAATTGTTACCCACGAAAATAACCCAATCCACAGTAGGTTCTTTAGAACAGTTTGAAACCAGAGGGTTATTGATATACCAATTTTGTAATGTTCTTCTTTCAGCTATAATATTGCAGAGCTACTGGAGGAGATATCAAGCCAAGAAACTGATGGAGAAAAGAAAACATGCTACACAAGTTATACGCAAGTAAGTGCTATGGTCATTAATTTGAATTTCACTTGATTTAAAGCAATTTCATTCATTTCTGTGGGTATTGATTTTTCTGGATTGAGGAAAAATTGTATTTTCATGTCTTAACACGAGTCTGCATACACGCCTCTAGAAAGAACATTTAAATTTTTGATTCACCTGTACCAACTAAATGCCTGAAAATTGGTATCCCACGAATAAAAATGAATCCACACTAAATCCTTTATAGGGTTTCTGGAATAGGGAAAATTTCTTGGGCAAGATCTGTTTTTTTCCATTAATGTATAACTTACATGTAAAACTTAAATACTAAGTACACCTGTACATTAATAAGTATAGCTCTGCAAGTATAAATCTTAGATCAGGGAATTTAAAAAAGTATAAGAAGTTTTTTTTTTATGAATCCTAGTGAGATATTATAACTAGTTTGGTATGTTTACACCTTACATAGGATAATAATGGGGTGGGTCATGTTTTCTGGTCTGCATCATCCTGCAGTCCCATTTCAGGTTTTGGTAAAGGGTATTTTACAATTTGTCAATAGTTGTGGTCATATCAAGAGTACATATGTTCATGATGAAGTACTTGCAAAGTATGTGATAAATTTGTGTTTTTATCCAAATGCTGAAGACTCTTGATCTCAGAGTCAGAATTGTTTGCCTCCATCATTGATAGCATTTTCAAATAAAAACAGCTATTTCTGTAAGAAATCCCTTTATGAATGCCAGCAGCTCCTTTAACTAGTTACTCTGGTATACTATAATTTTAAACGAAAAATGTTATGTAATTGCCGATGAATCTGTTTATAGAGTAAAAAGGATTTGAAGAAAATAGATCATTTGGAAAGAAAGTGAACATTTTCTGATGTAATATAAGTTCTATGAATGTTCGTCTTGATATACAGATTTGCAAATATAATTATGAGTTTTCTTTTGGTATTAACACAATCTGTTAAAAAATTGTCTTAAAATGAAATTTTCAAGTTCAATGAATTTAGTTTTGTATATTTTTAGATTTATCAATGGATTTATACACAGAAAGGAAGCAGAATGTGATGAGAACAGAGAATTTATACAGTGTACAAAACACAATTATCTCTATAAAATACAACGGAATCTACCGAAAACTGTTCTAGACAAAAGCTGGCCATCTGCACCATCCCTTTTACAAGAGGTAGCTTTTGAAAAAACATGGTTTCCCTGGCTTTTCATGCTGCTGTTAGTGCTCTTAGCCATGATGGAATCTTAGTATTAACTCATGAAATAGCCAATAGGGCTGAAAGTGGCGTTAAACACCAATCAATTAATCCAATAGCATCTAATATATTTCATTCATCCATAAAATTAAATCTAGAAAAACTCTTTATACTATCAAAATTATATAGTCGTATTTATATTTCTCATCTTTGAAATGGATTCAAAAGTAAACGTGTATGTAGTATGCATCTACAAGTTTAAAAATTGTGTATTTTACTCATAATATATAATAAAATATTATCAATAAAAAAAAAAAAGATATACTGTAATTCAGAAATTATTGCATGCATTTATTATTGCCATTTTTGAAGAATGATCAGAAATGGGAGTATTTATAGGATAATTGCATTTTTATACGCCCGTCAAAATTTTAGAGATATTGAGTTTTTGTAAAAAAAAGGGGTTTTCGCATGTCAGGCTGTATGTCAGAAACTATTTATGATTATTGCATAAAAATTCACACACAAGACGATGGGTGTATCATGCGCTCATGGGGCAGCTGTTTATTAGAAGAAGCTACATACAGATATATGTATTTGATAACAGAATGTGAGTTCTTATTATTGTGATACTCAAGTAGTCGCATTATTCACATTAATAAAATCCTTGCAATAATTTCTGAATTTACAGTTCATTCGACCATCATTCTGAAGTTCCCCATTTATATTTATTTATTTCAGCACGAAAAAATTTATATCTTAAGATACAGAAACAAATGACTAAAATTAAACTTACTTCAAATTAATAAATCATAAGAAAATACAAATATATGCATACAAATAAGTACATCTACCTGTCAGAGGGAAAGCAGACTTGTATAGCAGCAGAAAATTAATATAGTTCAGCATCCAAGAAAAAAGGGAGATAACTTTTAAACTTGAAAGTTAAGAATGAGATAGTGATTTTCTTCCCAGATTTGTGTTTAGATATGGGAAAAAGAATTGATAATGTTTTTTGGCAATTCAACTATATAACTTTATTATCACCTGTAAATACTTTTGCAATGAAAGGAAATGTTAAATATTGATATATTATATATATTGTTTTTCAGGCATCATCCTTACTTCGAACATTGTGTATGAAAAACCTTATATTGAAATATATGAAGAAGGTCACACCTGGCTATAAATCAAAGGTAAATAAATCATAATTTGGTAATGCTATAAAAATTGGTATTTGTTTTTTTTAGATCGCCTAACCCAAAGAGCCAATTCAGCTATTCTCATTACTTTGCATCCATTTTTGTCATCTGTTAACTTTTACAAAAAAGTTTTCTTTGAAACTAATGGGCCAATTGAGACCAAACTTGACCACAATTATCCTTGGTGTATGTAGATTAAAAAAAATAAATGAGTCTGATAATCCCAATTGCCAAACAACATGGCTGCCAGGGATAAAAATATGACATAGGGTTAAATGCAAGTATTGTCTATTATCTTGAAAACCTCAAAGGTTGAGAAATACTGATGGGGCAGACAAGTTCAGAATGTCAAGATCTACCTGCTGTCTCTTAGTCTAAAGGCTGTTACCAAAATGATTATGTGATGTTCAATGGAAGGTTTAATAGGTAGATGGTTGTAATTCTTACATTCGGTATAACTAAAACTTGATATAGTTTGCAAATGTAAAAAAATTGTTATTTTATGTTTATCATCTTTTTACAGATGGAAGAAAAGGTAGAAGCAGAATCTCTATTTAAAGGAAAAAAATCCTTGTATGCTGACAGTGTCAAAAATATGTTTGAAGACAGCAGATTAGGTACTTATGTAAAAAAATCCTGTGTACACATATGTCATAATGTTTGTAGACATTTATACAATGTCACTCAAAAAGAATGTAAAACACATTGTAAATATTCAGATACAAGGTCACCCAAAAAGAATGTAAAACTCATTGTAAATATTCAGATACAAGTCACTCCAAGATAATGTAAAACTCATTGTAAATATTCGGAGACAATGTCACTCAAAAAGAATGTAAAACACATTATAAATATTTAGATACAATGTCACTCAAAAAGAATGTAAAACACACCGTAAATATTTAGATACAATGTCCCTCAAAAAGAATGTAAAACACATCGTAAATATTTAGATACAATGTCACTCAAAAAGAATGTAAAACACATCGTAAATATTTAGATACAATGTCCCTCAAAAAGAATGTAAAACACATTGTAAATATTCAGATACAATGTCCCTCAAAAAGAATGTAAAACACATCGTAAATATTTAGATACAATGTCCCTCAAAAAGAATGTAAAACACATCGTAAATATTCAGATACAATGTCACTCAAAAAGAATGTAAAACACATTGTAAATATTCAGATACAATGTCACCCAAAAAGAATGTAAAACACATTGTAAATATTCAGATACAATGTCCCTCAAAAAGAATGTAAAACACATTGTAAATATTCAGATACAATGTCCCTCAAAAAGAATGTAAAACACATTGTAAATATTCAGATACAATGTCCCTCAAATAGAATGTAAAACACATTGTAAATATTCAGATACAATGTCACTCAAAAAGAATGTAAAACACATTGTAAATATTCAGATACAATGTCACTCAAAAAGAATGTAAAACACATTGTAAATATTCAGATACAATGTCCCTCAAAAAGAATGTAAAACACATCGTAAATATTCAGATACAATGTCCCTCAAAAAGAATGTTAAACTCATTGTAAATATTCAGATACAATGTCACTCAAAAAGAATGTAAAACACATTGTAAATATTTAGATACAATGTCACTCAAAAAGAATGTAAAACACATCGTAAATATTTAGATACAATGTCCCTCAAAAAGAATGTAAAACACATTGTAAATATTCAGATACAATGTCACTCAAAAAGAATGTAAAACACATTATAAATATTCAGATACAATGTCCCTCAAAAAGAATGTAAAACACATTGTAAATATTCAGATACAATGTCCCTCAAAAAGAATGTAAAACACATCGTAAATATTTAGATACAATGTCACTCAAAAAGAATGTAAAACACATTGTAAATATTTAGATACAATGTCACTCAATAAGAATGTAAAACACATTGTAAATATTCAGATACAATGTCCCTCAAAAAGAATGTGAAACTCATTGTAAATATTCAGATACAATATCACTCAAAAAGAATGTAAAACTCATTGTAAATATTCAGATACAATATCACTCAAAAAGAATGTAAAACACATTGTAAATATTTAGATACAATGTCACTCAAAAAGAATGTTAAACTCATTGTAAATATTAAGTTACAATGTCCCTCAAAAAGAATGTGAAACTCATTGTAAATATTTAGATACAATATCACTCAAAAAGAATGTAAAACTCATTGTAAATATTCAGATACAATGTCCCTCAAAAAGAATGTGAAACTCATTGTAAATATTCAGATACAATGTCCCTCAAAAAGAATGTGAAACTCATTGTAAATATTCAGATACAATATCACTCAAAAAGAATGTAAAACTCATTGTAAATATTCAGATACAATGTCACTCAAAAAGAATGTAAAACACATCGTAAATATTCAGATACAATGTCACTCAAAAAGAATGTAAAACACATTGTAAATATTCAGATACAATGTCACCCAAAAAGAATGTAAAACACATCAAAAAATATTCAGATACAATGTCCCTCAAAAAGAATGTAAAACACATCGTAAATATTCAGATACAATGTCCCTCAAAAAGAATGTAAAACACATCGTAAATATTTAGATACAATGTCACTCAAAAAGAATGTAAAACACATTGTAAATATTTAGATACAATGTCCCTCAAAAAGAATGTGAAACTCATTGTAAATATTCAGATACAATATCACTCAAAAAGAATGTAAAACTCATTGTAAATATTCAGATACAATGTCACTCAAAGATAATGTAAAACTCATTGTAAATATTCAGATACAATGTCACCCAAAAAGAATGTAAAACACATTGTAAATATTTAGATACAATGTCCCTCAAAAAGAATGTAAAACACATTGTAAATATTCAGATACAATGTCCCTCAAAAAGAATGTAAAACACATCGTAAATATTCAGATACAATGTCCCTCGAAAAGAATGTAAAACACATCGTAATATTTAGATACAATGTCACTCAAAAAGAATGTAAAACACATTGTAAATATTCAGATACAATGTCACCCAAAAAGAATGTAAAACACATTGTAAATATTTAGATACAATGTCCATCAAAAAGAATGTAAAACACATTGTAAATATTCAGATACAATGTCCCTCAAAAAGAATGTAAAACACTTTGTAAATATTCAGATACAATGTCCCTCAAAAAGAATGTAAAACACATTGTAAATATTTAGATACAATGTCACTCAAAAAGAATGTAAAACACATTGTAAATATTCAGATACAATGACACTCAAAAAGAATGTAAAAAAACACACTATAAATATTCAGATATATTATCACGTAAACAAGAAGTAAATATTCATGTATGATAAAATATATAAATGTCTCAATTGACTTGTGAGTTTCTTAGTTATTCAAATGAATTTCGCACAATGCAACAATCATGCTTGTAAATACGACTTATCATATATCTGAGTTTATGGCTTTGCATGGAATTGTTATTGCCTTATTTTTCAGATGAACATCATGAAAGATTGATCTCTTCAGTGTTTGATTCCAAGGTTAAGTCCATGGAAGAGAAGGTCAAGGTAAGAACTAAGGCCACAGAAAAGTAATAATATTACATGATAGGTTAAAAAATCATTTTCACACCTAGTATTTGAGTTCTTCTGGAAGTCTATGGAAAAAAGAAAAAAAATACCTACCATTTGATATTGCTGTCAAATTTGTTATGATAGTAAACTCATTATGTAACAAATTTCAACTTTTATTGGTACCTTTATTTTTTTTTTTTTACGCTGCATCAAGTCAATGTGTTCTCTTAAAGTAAACTTCCATTTAAAAAATACTATTTGCGTTATTGCAATTACATTGTACAAAAATTTTAAAATTTTAGTTTGCTGATTGAAATTAAACATGACAATTTATCCACAGGGTTATACTTACAAAGTTATTACTGGTGACCTTATCTGTCAAATCAAAACAGAAACTGTTTGCTGAACTAGAACATAGTGGAAAATCACCAATATAAGAATTTTTATCTGGACATTTGACCAGCTGACACTGAAATGGTGTGTTGGTCTTCTATTATATTGTTTGAATTTTTAATTGATTATACTTGGATCCATTATTCAAAATAAAAAAGTTTATTCATTCTTTTCAGTACTCTTCTGTAGTAACAAAGTTTGATCGTCATGGTTACAAACCCAGAAAGAGACTGATGATATTAACAGACAAACATCTATATTTAGTAACAGATAAAGACTGTGCACTAAAAGACAAAATACAGTATGATCAGATCACAGGTATGATATATTGAATTCATGTGAGGCAGATTGGGATTTTCCATGAAAAAATATCATTTATTTGAATGATTTGTATTTAATACAATGGTGGCCTGAGTGTTTTCGTACAGTATTTAAAAAACTCGAGAAAATTTAGCAAACTAATCAAACTTATTTAAAAGTATCTTATTATCTATAAGTGAATATAGATTAGCTTGTCTTAGCATTCAGCCAGATATAATTTGAATTTTCAAATACATTGTCAAAAATTACAAAAATAGACAAAAAATTACTATTAATAGCTCTGCAAGAATATTGATCCTGCCATAAAAATGAGTTATTCTAACATTACAGGTATATTATCCAGTTGCCATGGTGATGGATTGTTTATTGTAACTGTAAGCCCTGACGAAAATGGAGTAAAGGTAAGACCAGTTTAAATTTATTAGAATGCATAACCCAAGTGCTTTTATTGCTGAAAGTTATCTTGATGTCACCCTGAGGCATAGATGCCAACATTAAGATTTCTCTGTAATTGTTATAAATTTTATACAAAAATTACTGTGTTATGATTAACAGTCTATTTGTTATGGATTTTAGTTCATTACATGTCCCGAAAAGTTCCCTGTTTAGATATCATTGTAAGTCTTCATTTTTGGTTATGATTTTGTGTAACAAAAAGCCCCCGAGTTATTTTCGAATTATCAAATTCTTTTTTCTCTGGATTATCTATAGTAGAAAAGGATCTACATAGTTCTTGTTTGATTCCACACAAGAGGATTATAACTTAATTTTTGGACTGATGAAAGAAAATAAGGCCACGGTCATCAACACTTATTATTGTTTATTGAGATCAACATAAATTATTGGAGTATTCCTTAAAGTGTTGTTGTCACTGGACCTTCTACATTTTATGTTTTTAATGTAACGACCCTGCATACCCGAGGTATCCACTTTATGGAATCTACTGACAGAAGATTTACCAGGCGTTGGTTCACTTGTGTTTAAAACTTATTATTGTTGTAGAAATCATAATGAATAATGAATAACTAAAATCTTTAATATGTTTTCTATAAATGCTCAATTGAAATCTATATCAATTTCCTAATTTCAGGGTGATTTGATACTTAGAAGTGAGGAAGTTATTGAGGTTATAACAAAGCTTGCCATGATAGGAAAGAAATCAGACGTTGTGCAAGTCATCAGTGATCAGAGGTACTATATTCATTGATATCGAAAATCATCAACTCCATGAATAATTTTAATAAATCATTTATTGATATTTGAATTTTTTTTTTTTAAATGCTTCAGAAATGAAATTGGACATGCATATGCACAATGTAGCAATGTTCTTTTCAGAAATAACAGTATTTTAATGATCTGCTTCACTAAAATATTCAAATTAAGTTTAACTACCAAACAATGTACCTTAGGATAATGGATGAAATGATATTATTGCAAGGAGTCAGGAAAACATTTGGGTTGTGCATTGTCATAGATTCTAAAAAGGAAATGTTTGCAAAGGCTTATGTATGCCAATGACAAATCTTTGATGAGTTTATTCACCTCTATTTCATTTTAAAAAAAATGTTTTAAAAAATCCAACTTATGCATTCCTGTATTTCTTGCTATTACGATACACTTGGACAAAATCGGAATACATAAATGCGTAAAATACTATTTTCAGGTTTTCTGTGACTCATAAGAAAAAGAAGTTTATTTAATTTATGAGACATCAAAGCTTTTCTAGTATGCAATATTAAAAGAGAAATTGATATTAAGAAATACAATTGTGGCAAAATATCTTATATGAATCAAAAAGTTTGAAAGATATATGTAAAGCAAAAACACGTAGCATTTTATTAAGCGTGACAACATCTGAAAAAATTAGAACAGATTATGTTTCATATCATGAATTCCTTTCAGCATTAGCCATGGGCTTTCTGGTGGTAAAGCTGGAACTATAGACTTTGTTAAAGGTCCAGTTGATAGTATGAAGAAAGGCAAAAATGGACATTTTTGTGTGGTAAGTATCATAGTTATAGTATGAGCAGATAGTATTAACTATTTATAAAGATATATAGTTAGACCTTAAAAAGCCACATATAAAGGTCATCGTTTTATACCCATTTGTTGTCAAGTTTTACACGTCATGTGTAAGGTCAAATCTTGAGAACCTGTGATGATGTCATCATTACATAGCAGATATATTTTAACATATATCTTTATATATGTTATGAGGCATTTCTATATAAAAGTCATGTCACTACCACCTTTATTTTACACCTAAATGACATCTGTTTAGGGCTGTTGATATATCAATAAATCATGACTTCATCTTACATAGTACAAGTGATTCAGCCAGGCACAGGTCACTGGACACTTGCCCATCTTTATCTCTAAATAATTGGAAGGAATTTGAAAATTTTTTAACTTAAAGAATGTCCTTAAGAAATTTTTATAGAAATGAAAATTGACTCGGGCTTCTGATGTCTAGCTGAATCAGTGAGTACAACACGGAGCAGTAAAAAGATCTGTACTGACAGAAATTAATTCGCTCAAACCTACTTTTTTAGCAACTTTGGTTTGGATACATATTTAGGTCCATATTCATGTCAGTAGTTTTGTATCAGTGATAATTTTCTGCCATATTCCTGGTATTGTAAAGCAGTTTTGATTCATTTATTATTAGTTTTTTGTAAACGTTTGCTTTCAGGTGCAAATGGTTGCTTTCTTGCATATTCCTGTTTTAGACAGCCTGCCTGTGTTTTGCAGAGATTTAAACAAAATGAAATTTTACTTTTTTATTAAAATAGTATTGAAGCTTGTTGAGACAATTTTAACTATTTTTTTCAGATTGTTGCACATTAATTCAAAGAAATAATATAGGAGCAATTTCAAAAGAGCTGAATCTAAAGAATTCCTGTGGATAAATTCCTTGCCAGCAGCATCAAGAAGATTTATATTGTTTATTGTTCTAGTCCAGCATTAGTGTAAAACAAGACATTCATGTGTTTTTGGCAGTCATAGCCACCTTGAAAGACTGTAATGTTATTCAAGTAACTATTGGTAGGAATCAATTACTGTAAAAGTACTCCATCTTTTTCTTTAACCAATCATGGGTACCAGTTTTGTTAGTACTTTTAAGATCTTGTAGTTGTTGTTTTAGTTGAAATGGGATTTTTGATTTGTGGTTTCAGGTTCGAAAAATTAAAAATTTTGTGTGACTCTTTAGATATTAAAAGATATAAGAATTCTTTATTTTGATGAACTTTGAATCCATGAAAAATTGATTCTCTGTAAATTGAAATACTTTTACAGGAATCCATATGTAATTTGTCATTTGTTGTAGGTCATTGAATTGTTACCGTAGTCATTTATACAGCTGTCAAACTTGTAAAGTAATACAGTTGAATCTTGTTATTTTGTCCCCCAAACAAGTCTGCTTTTCATTTACTTAAGATTAAATGAATAGACGTTTTAAGGACGGAAGAAATAACTTGACCACACTACATATGTGAAAAAAAATATTTGTGCAGCATGTCTTATTTTTGCCTCAATGTGGTTTAGTCTTTGTTCATTATATAATGTATTGATTTCGTAATTCAGTTTTTCGTTGATGAACACTTAGAGTAAAAATATGATGACTGCAGCCAATATTTCCATGTTTAAAAAATTGCAGGTGCTTGTTGATGTTTACTTGCCACTGTATTCACACATTTAAGATCCACTTTATTGTGTTCATTGAAATATAGGGCTCAGGAGTCGGTTTCACAAAAAAACTTACGAGTAAGATTGATCGTAAGTATACTGAATTATTTATGACTTACAATCAATCTTAGTCGTAAGTTTTTTTGTGAAACCGACTCCTGTGCTCTACCTAATGAAAAATAAAAAAATTGAAATATGAATTGGTAATCATTTATTATTTATTACATTTAACTTTACCATCTCAATTTTGAAATATAGACGAACATTTTTTTGTGTGTAAATTTATTAATATTCGTTTTTCGAAGATTTCAAGATTTTTGATAATTATCATTGATAAACATGGCTTATAGATGATTTATTACCATAGTAATTTGTAAAATTGTCAGTTGAATTAGTACTGAAAACTTTCCTATATGTTATTACCATCAAAAGTAATCAGATTTAAAAAAAACCAAAACAACATTTTGTTATTAAAGGCAAAAATAACTGCGTTTACACCTTGAAAGTTATGCACAGTGCAGACAAACCAGTTGGACTAGAAAATGTTTAAGGCAGGACCTAGATATGTATAAATGTTGAGTGATTTTGTGTTTCATAATTATATAATTTCTTGGATTTACAGTTCATTGCAAAAGATGGTTAAATAAATATGCATCTGAATTGGTTCAACTGTCAGCTGTTTAGATAAACTATTGTTGTGCATATATTTACAGTAATGCTATAATAATACAATAAAATACAATTATTACCTGAGAAAACATCTAAAAAATTGTACCCTACTCAGTTTATATTGATGCCTTCTGTAGTAATAAGAAAACAAATGCACTTTAAAAACAGGAATTTTTAAAAAGTTTTTTGAAACGCAAAATACTTTAATAATTTATACATTTAGGTTCTTCTATTCACACTTTTCCAGTTTCACACTTTTGTCTGCACGCAGTATACATTTTGTAGTGCAAATATAACAATTTTTGCCAAAAGACTACGATGAACCTTAGCATTTCACAGAAAGTACGTTATAGATTACTCTGTAGTTCATAACTTATTAGAATATTACATTATTTTATTAAGTCTAGTCACCAAACTTTTCTTTCCAAATCTAAGAGAGTTAATTCTTTAAAGTGAATTATTTGTATAACTTCAGTAGTATCACCTGATTTGGTGTAGTTTAACTGGTGCAGAATTATTTATATATATAGATTGTACCACTTATCGAGTGTGATACGATATTTATCCACTAGAGACCGTTAAATTTTGAAAATTGTCAAGAGTGGATAAATATCGTATTGCACAAGATTTGGTGGTGGAATCTAATGATTTTTTAATGATATGCCCTTCCTTTCGAATGATCTGCAAAAAGATGTGTTCTTTCTATGTGATGTCATTAGGCATGGTCGCCTTTTTTCATGAAGTCACAATAGGAAATTCAGAGGAAAGCAAGAAAATAGAATTTTGACCAATGAAGAACAGAGATCAAAACAACCACACGTTGATTAAATAAAAATAATCAAGAGGTCAGGAAAAGGATAAATCTTGTAAGAATTAGTGAAATATATATATATTATTTCGATCAATACTAGTCTAAGATATATTTGTATTTATCAGTTTCCTTGCATGAATTGAAGTTTTACATTTGTTATAATTTGACAACCTTGGCTTTTATGTTAATTTGTATAATCTATAAATATTTTCATCCACTTATTTGCTAGGTTTCACATTTGAATTGGTGCATTAAAATTTCTACGACATATTGTGCAATTAATTGTGATACTGTTATTGGTTAAATGTATATTTGTATAGAAACATTGTGTTCATTTGCAATAAGGATCTCATCAAGAGGCTGAACATGATGAATAAAATGATGATCATATTTATTCTTTCACCAAACACACTGACATTTTCTGAAAAGTTGTGAGTTGTAAAAATAGAATATGATAATTTTACATGAAAAGCCATTCAACGCTGCTCATGACAGTGTCTTACAGTGAAAAGTTCAGGTTCACAACAGAAATGATATTAAGATGGTGGATTTAGTCTCAGTATATTGTAGCTTACCAGATATTGTTGGGAGCCTCCATATATTTTTTCAAAAGAGGTAGGACCAATTTCTCCTGTATTTGTTTCAATCACAGGGTCGAACTCTAAAAGTTTTTAAATCCTACTGGAAATTAGAACTACCTCATAAAAAAAACCCAACACCATAAGCCAATTCTAACTTTGAAGTCTAATATTCCAATTTGAAAAAGAAAAGAAAAAAAAGAATATTAAGAGGAAGATTGAAACAGGTATCAGAAGTTGACAACTATGTCTACAACCACAAGATGTCAATCATCTTCAAAATATTTACTATGCAAGGTGATTTATAAAAAGATATTCCTGATCTATTCAACCTGTGCAGATGAATAGCTAAAGTAAATATTCGCTGTGTATTTTTATAATGCTTAATAGTTATAATTGTTATGTAATATACTTTGTAAAGTTTGTAAAATTTGATGTATATTCTGTGATAAATGTTCTTTGTGGCATTTGTATAAATCGTTTGATGAGAGAGAATATTATGTATATTGTGTGATTAATGTATTTTGTGGTGTTTGTAAAAAAATCATTTGATAAGAAAAAATTGATGTATATTCTGTGATCCTTCCCATAATGTGATTCTCAATTTAAAATGAATTTTTAGTATGTGATCTGTGATTTCATTGTGGTGCTTTGTATATTTATATTTTGTTGTAAATTATGAATATATATATTTACACATATATTAATTTATTAAATTTGAAATTTAAAAAAAAGCTGTTATGTCTGTCTTATTAATGGAAAGTTTGGAATTTGTTCCAAGTTTCTCCCAAGCCATCACATAAAAAATTGGATTAAGCTAAAATATAGTTTCCAATACTGCAAATGTCTAGTATGTAAATGTGCACAAATGACTAAAAAAATTTAGGTAATATCTTAAGAGTTGTAACACTCCAATATGTTTGTTATTATTTAGTCTATTGAGTTATTTAATAAGTGTTAATTACAGGTTAATGAAAAGATAAGTAACTGTAAGGTCACAATGTTTTACTCAGGTTTGAAGTGTTATGTCCATTTTGTCTGATGAAGTTTAAGATTTTATGAATTGGGATGAAGTATTTGTTTGGTAGGTAGTTTACAACAATCCTTAGGTTTCAGTCTGTTTGAACTCATTTTAAGACATCGTCATAAGGCCCATTGGAAGATTTGAAAGGACAGATTGGATGATACACAGAAAATAAATTTGTAAACTTATAGTTCTGAACATAGAAAAACATTATGAAGCATGTGAAATGGCCAAAGAAAACTTACAGTTTTGTATGATATACATGCCTGTGTAATATTTATATGATCAAACCATATGAAACATGAAAGAGAGACCAGACATTGAATGTAAGTTAAAAATACGATATTCTGACGTTTTGTCTGATTTACATTGTAAATTGTCATACTGTAAATTCAGAAATTATTGCGAGGATTTTATGAATGCGAAAAATTTGACTCCTTGAGTATCGCAAAAATAAGAACCTGCATTCTGATATCTGATATGTATCTAAAATCGCAATAATTAAACTGGCATTTTTGTTCATTCCCCAAAAATCGCAATAATGAATGCATTCAATAATTTCTGAATTTACAGTATTTGTCATATTGGAAAAAAGCAAGATTTACAAAAACATATATATTTATCAATATATTTCCTAACACACCAAGTAAAACAACCATTGCATATTATGATGTAGATGTGGGTGATGCTGAACCCATTAAACAATATCCATATCGAGTCAATCCCAGAAAAGCAGTTTGGTAAATAAGAAATTGATTATTTGCTAGAAAATGATCTTTTTGAAAATGAACGGAACTCACCTTGTCCTTTAGTTTCAAACCTGTTAAGTCAAACAGATTCGTTACAGATTTTTGGAAAATTATCACTTTGACAAAATCAGATACTTATCTCATCCCTATAGGATTGATGGTTGCATTAATGAAATAGGGAAGGCAAATGTGTAAGTAAATTTGACTTATTGCAAGGTTACATGGCCCAAAGGTGTATTTGCTACTTCCAGTGGTTTTAATTATGCATAAGGGAATGAAGAAAAAATGCCACATTTCAATGATTTGTTCAAAAATTCTCAAAGGTTTAAATAGCTGTTCAGGCTACATTGATGATATATTTAATTACAGTGATACTAGGGAACAAAATTATAAACAAATAAAGGAGATGGTATGGTAAGACCATTATTTTGGCCCCTTCAATTCGAAAATCAAAAAGTAATAATTACATTAGATGTATGTTTCATTATTATACGTTATTTTGATTGGCTAACAGCAATCTCGCGTCATTCTTCATTTCAAAATGAATTGCATGAATTGAAACATACATGATGACACACGTTTCCACAATAAAGTGCACAGGTAAATAAAAGAAAAACTTGATAGTAATCGTGTTTTCATGGTCATAACGCAAAAATGTAATTATAAGTATTGAATAAAATTGAGAATGGAAATGGGGAATGTGTCAAAGAGACAACAACCCGACCATAGAACAGACAACAGCAGAAGGTCACCAACAGGTCTTCAATGCAGCGAGAAATTCCCGCACCCGGAGGCGTACTTCAGCTGGCCCCTAAACAAATATGTATACTAGTTCAGTGATAATGAACGCCATACTTAACTCCAAATTGTACACAAGAAACTTAAATTAAAAATAATACAAGACTGACAAAGGCTAGAGGCGTACATTTTTAGAATGAAGCGCTTCCGCGCTTCATAAAAAATGTACTTCGGTCAACGCTTTTACACCCCAATGAATTTACAAAAAGAAGCATTCAATTCTTAATTATAAATCTACCCAATACCATCGTTCATAAATAAAGGCAACAGTAGTATACCGCTGTTCAAAAGTCATAAATCGATTAAGAGAAAACAAACCCGGGTTACAAACTAAAACTGAGGGAAACACATCACCTATAATTTAAGAAGATAACAACGGAACAACAGAAACACTAAAGTGCAACAAAAACAAACGCCAACAAACATATATAGAAACGAACTATTTGATAACAACTGCCATATTCCTGACTTGGTACAGGACATTTGAACCTGGTTTTATGGCTAACCAAACCTCCCGCTTATATGGCAATGTTAAAAAATATCGCTAAAATGACAACACCATGTGACAGGAACACAGCACAAACAAACGCAAGAACACCAGCACAGAGAAACGCACACACAAATAATGTTATAGTCGTGACAACATGTAAACCGCAGAAAAAACAACGAACATCTTCCATTAACAACATCACAGGACAAAACAAACAGTGACGTATTTTTGAGACGAATATATTATCTTGAAATTCATACAATTATTTTCACAATACTAGTCCAAACAATTATCATGATTATGACGGTATTGAAAGTCTATTTTAAATAAATGCTGTGACGACGTCATAATTATTTGGACTAACACAATACTTATCCATGGAAAATGGAAATTAACTCGACTATACTGACAAATAAGACATATGTGAAATGTACCGAAAATACAGAATTCAAGCCACAAACGATAAGACATAACACAATATCCAATCAAACACACAACAGAAACATCATAACTAAATACATGAATGTTGGATGTATTAATACCGAGACACGCTGTAATCCAATGCAAATTCACACTCGGCAAAACAGTCATATTCGGGAATAGTTCACGTTCGGTACTTAGCAGACAGACGACATAGATGTTAAACTACAATCTAAGACGTGACAAGGATTTGTATAGTTCTTGCTTATCAAATCCTTGGACGTGGTAAAATGTCGTTAGTTAGATTAGACACAGACACATCGTATAGATTAACCAATTGATGATGGTGTTCATAAAATTTACGGAGTGTCATTTTTAATCTTCCCTCCTCATAACTTTGTTGGAGCAGAGTCTTACCGATATCACCATTTATTTCAAAATGTCGTTAGTTAGTTTAGACACAGACACATCGTATAGATCAACCAATTCATGATGGTGTCCATAAAATTTACGGAGTGTCATTTTTAATCTTCCCTCCTCATAATTTTGTTGGAGCAGAGTCTTACCGATATCACCATTTGTTTTTGAATTTTACCATACATGTTTGCATTAAGGCTTTAAACTTAAAACTTCTGAAATAGCCTCATTTTGAAGTCTTTTCATTATTAGCTCACCGGGGCCCGAAGGGCCCCATGTGAGCTTATGCTATCACTTGGCGTCCGTCGTCGTCCGTCGTCTGTCGTCGTCTGTCATCGTCTGTCGTCGTAAACTATTTCAAAAATCTTCTCCTCTGAAACTACTGGGCCAAATACCTTCAAACATTAACTAAATGTTCCTTAGGGTATCTTGTTAATAAATTATATCCGAAGTTTTGATCCATCTACAAACATGGCCGCCATGGCTAAAAATAGAACATTGGGGTCAAATGCAGTTATTGGCATATATCTCAAAAACTAAAGCTTTTAGAGCAAATCTGACATGAAGTAAAATTGTTCAATTGGTCAAGATCTATCAGCTCTGAAATTTTCAGACGAATCGAACAACCCATTGTTGGGTTGCTGCCTCCGAATTGGTAGTTTTAACAAAATTTTGCAGTTTTTTGTTATTATTTTGAATATTATTATAGATATATATATAAACTGTTAGCAGCAATAATGTTCAGCAAAGTAAGATCTACAAAAAAGTTAATATGACCAAAATTGTCAATTGACCCCTTAAGGAGTTATTGCCCTTTAAAGACAATTATAAACAATTTGTTCATCAAGTTTGCTAACATTTAAAAATCTTCTCCTCTGAAATACAGGTGAGCGATTCAGGCTCTTGAGAGCCTCTTGTATATATATCTAGATGTGAGCAACGGTTTTACATAAAAAGATATATTGCTACAACATTTATCTTACAAAGATCTTTATTTGTGTTCAATATTTGTTTTGAGTTCGGCTATTGCTCGTATCTATTTTGTCCAACAACTGTGTGTAAAATGACCATTTTTGATCAGATATGTCAATTTCGACATATTTTAAGACACCATAGTGACATCATAAGTGACCTTTTTGCACCAAAGTGTCAAGATTATATTACCCCGTTTGTCTATCCGGAGCACCTGTGATCACCCCAGTTTTTGGTGGGGTTCTTGTTGCTCAGTCTTTAGTTTTCTATGTTGTGTTATGTGTACTTTTGTTTGTCTGTTTGCCTTTTTCTTTTTAGCCATGGCGTTGTCTGTTTATGTTCGATTTATGAGTTTGAATGTCCCTCTGGTATCTTTCGCCCCTCATTTTTAAATTACATGTACCACAATTGTTTTAATCTGACATAATTCTTGAATTAAGTTTTCTTTATTGTGTTTTGTGTACTGTTTGATTTTTCGTCGTTTTCGTTTTTTGCCATGGCATTGTCAGTTTGTTTTCGACTTGTGAGTTTGATATCTTTCGCCTCTCTTTTCAAGGACCAAATAATTGCTATTATCATACCTCTCTATTTTTTTTTAGCTCACCTGGCCCAGAGGGCCATGTGAGCTTTTCTCATCCCTTGGCGTCCGTCTTCCGTCTTCGTCTGTTAAACTTTTACAAAAATGTAATCCTCTGAAAATTTAACCAAACTTGACCACAACCATCATTGGGGTATCTTGTTTAAAATATGTGTCCGCTGACACCGCCTGCAAACCTAGATGGCCAACATGGCTAAAAACAGAACATAGGCGTAAAATGCAAGTTTTGTCTATTATTTTGAAAACCGTTATAAATAGAGAAAATCTGACACATGCAGATGTGTTCAGAATGTTGAGCTCTACCAATTGTCCATATACGTCAGAACTGTCAGACGACTTCTTTTAGGAGGTATTGCCCTTAAATGACAAATTTTACCATTTTTTTCATTTTTGCCTATTATCTTGAAAACTATAATAGAAAGAGACAAACTTTAAATTGCAAAAATAATCAGCAAGACAAGTTCTACAAATAAGTCTCATGTTCAAAATCGTCAGTTGACTCCTTATTAGAGTCATTGCCCTTTGATGACGATTTTTACCATTTTATTTTGCAGTTTTGCCTTATATCTTAAAAATTATAATAGATATATAGAAATTTAAATAAGCATAAATGATCAGCAAGACAAGATCTTCAATTAAGACAATAAGAAGGAAATCGTCCGACGACTCCTTATTGGAGTTATTGTCCTTTAATGTCGATTTTTACCAATTTGTTTTGCGTTTTGCCTTATATGATAAAGATTATAATAGATAAAAAGACACTTAAAATCACAAAAATGATCAGCAAGGCAAGATCTACTAACAAGTCAAATTTAGCCGATATAGTTAGTTGACTGCCACTCTTTAAAGCAGTGATAACCCTTTAATGAGGATTTTTTTACCCTATTTTGTGTTTTGAGCAAAAGTTAAAGAAGATAGAGAGAAACTATACAGACTAAATGATCAGCAATACAAGATAAAAAAAACCCAGAGATTTGTGTCATGAATTCTATTCTCGTCCACAATGTTGGAGAGTGTCCTTTGTTGAATATGCACATAGACCAAGGTGAGCGACACGGTCTCTTTAGAGCCTCTAGTTTCAAAGAGTGTCAGAAGTAAATCTAACAGTTTATATAGTTTAATACGAATTTGTTCAAAGTTTGTAAGTTCTGACTTTGGTGAAGGTAGAATTAAACTCATCACGTCAAAAGTAAAATGCAATTGCTGATTTAAATTTTTAATGTAACAAGTTGGAGTTTTAATATTTATTAAAATGTCTGGATATTTCCGAAAATGTTGTCTAACTTTGTTTTTCACATTTCGAAATCTTTAACAAAAATACTTGACACAAATGTGAAATTTGCATGAACAGATCAATGTGAAAGTCATTTGAGAAGATAAAAGCCTTTAAATGCCCCAGTCACCTGTTCTAGTTACACCTGACTTAAATGAAGAATAAATTTACAATTGATGCAAATGGTGTTGCCATTTGTTCAGTACTCTTACAAAATTATGAGGATGACATTGGAAATCTTGTTTCAAATTTGAGAACACCTTTTTACGAACGGGGTTCAAACCTACAACCTCAGTGTTGACCAGTTAGTGGTTACTGTAGATAAAAACTTAGACCACTCGCCACTAACGAACTTTATTGAGTTTAAGCTTTTCTTCTTTTAATGTAAATCAGGGGGAAGATACAATGAAAGCATTCAAGTTTAAATTAAAATATATGTAAATCAAGGCGACAGTAGTTTACTGATGTTTAAATTTCGTATATCAATTGAGAAGAGACCAATCAAGTCAACAAACAAAAACTGAGGGAATGGGATGGACTCTAAACGGAACGAGACCGGGTGCGTCGACAGGTTAAATACGTCTCCTGCTATGCATGTATCACTCGCCATTCGAATTCACACGCAGTCAATATATGTCACTATCGAGAATAAGGTAAAATCGGGTTAATTATAGATCAGACGACTATTGTGGTTTCTATGGTCATAATTATTAATTACCTGTTCACAAAACCTTATTTTTTTCTCGAAATTCTTAGGATTTTCTACCCCAGGAATAGATTAACTTAGCTTTATTTGGCAAAACCTTTCGGAATTTTGGGTCCTCAATGCTCCCCAACTTCGTAATTTATTTGGTCTTTTTAACTTTTTTTTATTCGAGCGTCACTGATGAGTCTTTTGTAGACGAAACTCGCGTCTGGCGTACACATGTTTAATCCTGGTATCTATTTTGAGCAACCGACACATCGTATCGGTCAACCAATTGGTGATGGTGACCGTGAAACTTGTGAAGTGTCGATTTCAATATTTTTTCTTTATATCTGATTTTGTCTGGCCTGCGACGAAAGTCGCGGAAAGCGAGACATAGGGATTGATTTTCTGACGAAGGCGATGACGACGATGACGGCGTCAACAATGGTTAAGTTGTCTGCTTAAGTTAGTTTGATATGAACTACTTGTGATACTAGTACATCTTTGATATTTAATATGAAATTGCATTACTATCAGTATAAATCAATTTGACGACTACTTGGAGGCCCTGTCCCCTAGGTCATGGTCCAGTGACTTGACTATTTTGAGCCTCTGTCCCATAGGTTATGGTCCAATTACTTTGACTTAATTAGCAATTTTCAATGTAAAGTTTTCTGCTAAAGTTAGATTGATAGGAACTGCTTACTATAGACAACGATATTTTCTATAAAGTTACATTACTGTATGTTCATCTCAGTTTGTCGACCATTTCGAGGCCCTGCTCTCTAGATCATAACCCAACGACTTTAAATTATAAAGCAATGTTGCTGCCAATCAGATTGTCTTTTCTGAATTTTGCTGCCGACAGCCGAGACATATCTCTGTTTCAAAAGTTAATGGTCGAAGGAGCTTACCCCTATTACAACTTTTATGAGCCACATTACAAATTCCGCAGCTTTATTTGACCTAATACACGATGGAATAGTCTGGGACTGCCATTGGTTGTAAACAGTTTATTGGTGGCAACCATGTCCATGCGACACGAGTGATATTATTCTATTTTGTAGTAAGTAAATTATTTTGATAATGAATCGCCACAGAAGCCAAATACCCAAAATTGAATCATATTATTCTCTGTTATTGCAGGAACAAAGATCAATTTTGCACCTTATGTACTGTTATTGCTAACGTGAGTGACTATGTTGTTTGTGGAAGTAAATAGCAGATACGATTAACAAATCAGCCGTCTTTGGTACTCATGTGTCATCTTCAGACATATGCATTTATCTATATATTTGTTTACCTACAAAGCTTTATTTACATTACAAATGTTTGGCCTTTCTCTAGCTTTATATGCAAAATTGTATTTTACGTCTTTTTATTACTTCTCAGTTACTTATACTGACCTACAATCAACTTTTAAAACTGATTAGTGAGGAACAATTCAGCATCACAATGCAAAGACATGTTGTACAGGGACTGTAAATACGAACCCATTTCCCCTGTGAAGATCCCGAATAACATTTAATATCTAAGTGGTTATCATCTTTGTGTATTTTTTAAATCTAGTGTTTATTTTCCAACAATTAATCAATCTTTTCTGGTTTAATTGTGTACCCTAAATGACCTGCGTTGTTTCTCATTGACTTACACCCTACTTCTAATTTTATTTATATAAATTAAATCATGCCATTACCAAAGCATAATTTGTTACTCAAAACAATGAAAATTATTCATATTTTTTTATAATTTAAAAACTGTAGTCCACGTGATACAATAACTATATTTGTTTTAAATGAATATTATATATCATATCTTTGAGATCTGTATCACAATTCAATGCATTAGTTTATTACGACATATATTTGGCAATCAGCTCCTATTAACATGATTTCATATATACGATATAACCGGACAGAAGTTAGTTTAAATACCAAAATGGTGGCAAAATTTGTAAGTTATCTTTTACTTAAATTTGTGTATTACTTTGAATTTGTACTAAAATGTGTAAGCAACCCAAGATTCTACATCCCTTATTTACCAGGCAAGCTTATCAGTGTTTCAAACCTGCATATATACAAATGATTGTGATCTGTAAATAAAAAAAAGGCTGGAAAATTTTTCAATGTTGTAATTTTTAAGCCAATGCGTTAGCTGATACAATATGAATACTTGAAATGTCGGCATTGCACTATTAAGGAGATAAAGAATCTACATATAAAATAGGCGAAATTTAAATTGAACCGCAAATATTGGCGCTCTAAAGTACGTCCTTCTTCCACATAATTTTTCAGAACAAAATGATGAACAGAGAACGGGATTGAGGCTACGCAAATTGGAACATGATATGCTGAAGTTCGTCAAACTGTTTTTTTATTTACATATATATCTGACTTTTAGGTAATATTCTGTTTTGTTGCTGCTATTTCGGAAGTCAACGGAAGACAAGAAACAAGTAAGAAAGTTATATATTACAATTTCCAGAAATCAAGATTTGATTTAAGTTGAAACATATCCTGGTAATGTTTATACTCCTCTTGTAAACAGAACCATTTCTCTTTTTTAAAAAGAACCATAAATATTACTGCAATGTATTGAAAGTACTTTTAAAATCCAAAGACCAGGAGCAGTGAAGATGACAAAAATATAAATGTACATATAAGGCCAAATATATGTTAAATTTGTTTTTGTGGATAAATTCCGATTGTCAGGAATAATATGTTACGATGACATTCATTGTTTCCTCTGACAGGACTCAGCAAAGAAAATGCCTTGTCATTCCTCGGCCGGAAGATATTATCGTCTGCGAAACACGCAGAATACTCGTCCTGTGCTGATAGCTACTACTGTAGCATGCACCTAATGGAATGTTCGGTATGTAATTTTTTAATGACATCAACATCAATGCATGAAAATAAGCTCATCATAAATACCAGGATTAAAATCTTGTACTTCAGACTACAAAAAACTCACCAGTGACGCTAGAATAGAAATTAAAAAGGCTAAATAAAGTAAAAGAATTCTTTGGTACATTTAGAACAAGGTCGACAACACATACTTATGAGAGGAACAGATCCGCGACAATGATATAAATAGTACAAAATGAAAGAAGGAAAGAATGAAATGGTGTTCTGTGTTCCCACAATAATAATTTTTTAGGCCAATATTCATTATAAGTTTTATAAATATTGAAAAAAAAGTAAGGATACAAAGTAAGGGCGGAAATGGGATCAAACACAGTTCAACCTGACCACCTTTTAGGAAAGGAATCCATGTTCCATCGCCTTAAAACTAAATACTCACTGAACCGTTACATTTCAACAAGGAGCGTCTGATTTGGTGCAGGAAAAACAAGATGTTTTCTCCCAGTCTTGCTACATATTTATTCTGAACCTAATCACATATTCAACAAACTATAGTACCTTATATTGTTCATAATATAAAGGCTTGATTAAATATGTTTTAAAATAATTATTCGTGTGTATGATCCGTATATTTTCAACATGATAGCAGTATACAGTTATCTTTCTAATAACTTAAATGGTATTAAGGCGAAGTGTACGTAATTGCACGCCTCTAGCGGAATTCAGGATAAAAAACGTGCGTCGTTAGTTACGCGGGTTATCTCCCCTACTCCAAGAAAGGAAAAATGGGCACATGAAAGAAAAATGACTTCGTGCGGTCTATCATGAATCCAAACAAGTATTCATGTGCTATCTCAAAACTTCAAAGAAATTTTTATAATGACTCCAATCAGAAATCTGAGTATCCTATTGTGAGTTAGTCTGACTCTATTACCACTGTTTTTGTTTTAGACACGCAGAAGCAGGTACACAATACGACTCGTGTTTATTTCAACAGAAGGTAAAAACGCCTAAACAACAAAATTATAACCAAATAAACAAATAAACCAGTGACAATTCTGCTTCTATTCGTACCAAATTCATTAAAATCAAACCAGAATTGACCCCACAATATTTTTTGAAAAACCATAGTTTTGAATGAAATTCAGTGTAGCGTAAAATTGTAGGTAACGAATAATCATATTGCATGTGAATTTGTGTGTTGAACAAGAAAGACGTTGGCATGTCCGATTTTATGCAATTGATGTTTTATATTTTATTATTTATGTAAAAAGTATAAAAGATACTAAGGGTAATCGACCACTAGTACAACATTTATAAGCCGAAGAAAAAGCCAACAGCAAAAAAAAAACCCATCAGATTCCGTCCACAAAACATTTCACACTCAAAAACTAAGAATTGAGCACTATTACTTTTATCTCAGAATAAGTAAAATCTATGTCATCCAAATCTCAGTTTTCAAGGTGCAGAAAATAAACAGGTGTTTTCTATTCCGTCCGCAATTTTTGGGGAAAGTAAAATCTAAATTTAGAACCATGGTTGAAACTGAAACTACACATGTATGATAAAAATAGAACGTGTTATTTTTTCTTTATCAAATTCCAATTTCGAAGGGATAGCGAAATTTGTTTTCTTTTGTTGTGGTTTTGTGTATCATTCAGCAGTAGTATAAGGTAGGGGAAGAAGGGGGAGGGGGTGAAGAAAATAGGGTCTATAATGTCGGGGCTTTTTATAACCGACCATACGGTATGGATTTTTCTCATTGTTGAAGGCCGTATGGTTGCCTATAATAATTACATCCACATGATTTAAGGTAGCTGGGGTGTCTAAATATTGGACGATAGATTTTTCTTCAACTTCTGTAAAAGACTTCGGGGTCAATGTAATTTCAAATTTCAATACAAAAACTGGGGATCACGGACCTTGTTTTTTGTAATAACACATTGAAATTAACGAAATTTGGGTTATTTTATATTGTTAATATAGAGGAAACTTAAGTTTTCCTTATTGCGGAAACATTAAACGATAGAATTGGCTAAAATTCGATGAGAGAATTGCTTTTCATTAATAACTCCGAAATATCAAATAAAAAAAAGGGGTCACGGGCCTTATTTTCTTGAAAAAATCCCCAAAAATTTTAAATATACTTTACGACACTTAATGTTTTGATAGTTCAATCTTTAAATTTCAAGTTTAAGGTATTTTGTTGTATATTAAATGATACTTGGTAAAATATTTTTAAAACAAAAAAGTATTTTTGCAACATGATCAGAACGGACGCTCAGAAAAAGACACCCGGTCTACCTTAAACTGTGGCAGATAGTTGTCTAATTTGCAATCATACCACATCTCCTTATTTTCATATTATATTAAGAAACTGCAATTCATTTGCATTATATACAGGAACAATTTGTATGGCACTACACTAGGTAGACTCGTATAGCATCGCCCTTGGTACATTCTTATAGCATTACACCAGTACATGTATAGTATTACACCAGTACATTTATAATATAACACCAGTACATTTATAGCATATCACCATGCACAAAGCTTTAGCATTACATTATACACAATGCTATAGCATTATACACAATATACACAATGTTAAGGCTAACACTGGGAATGATCTGTGCTACGGGAAGTTATATCAAAAACTCCGATCTGTTTTACTTTGCTAAAATTCATATGCGTGTTCTTCTTTTGACCTTATTACAGCCATAAAAATTCTAAAGATAATATGCAGATGCAGTTTTCTTATTTTTTGGGAGTCATGCATGTGGATATTTAACAAATAATGGTACAAGAAATTATTTCCTTTTTTACTTAAAATCTCAAGCAAACATTATATCATGCTTTGTCGTGTAGTAAAAGAAAAGGGAAAGCGATTGAGACAGGAAATTTTAAAAATAAAATTGCAGAGTTGTGTCACGTGCACGTGTGTGAACCTGACAAATAAAATATGTTTTGTGCGCAATACCTCGAATAGCGCCGGTAATGGCGAGGATGAAAAGAAGCAGCAAATTATATTCACTTTTTTAAAAAACAAACATGCAGAAATAAGATTTTAAAAAAAGACGTGTATACGCGATAATTATAACCGATTATTTAAATACATATAGAATCATTCTGTCAACGCTGTGTTAACCGGGACAATTTCGAACTTGATATTTGATTCATAATTATTACTATATATATAATAAAATATTAATTTTCGCGAACCATTTAGGTCACAGAAATTCCAAAAAATGGCATCAGTAAGGAGAGTTGTACAAATGATGTGAATACACAGAACCCGGATCCAAATTATCTTTTACTAAAAGTATTCATCATTTTCTGTTTTGTATGTACTAACAACATTTCATTTTTCTACAATTTCGATTAAAATATTATAAAACCTGCAGTTCAATAGGTCACATGCCCCAAATAAACATTCCCCGATTGGTCGAACTACTGTGGCCTCGGTGTAAAGCAACGCAAGCCTCGATGTAAAGATCACGCTTCCAAAAATAGAGGTATGTCCCAACTTAACATTCCCCGATTGGTTGAATTGCTGCTGATGTAAAGCAACGGAAGCCTTGATGCAATGAAGAAAAGGGGTTGACAGGATAAACGTAATCATTATAAATTTTAACTTCATGGTTCTTATGCAAGCAAATTTAATAAACAATGATTTTATACAGTTGTGTTATTGTTTTCATTTTACATAGGGCTTTATTTCTGATCTTATTTCTGTGTACACAATTCTGAATCTACATATTTCACCTATATCAATATTAGGTAATCCGTTTGGACGATTCCATATACTATTATGTTATAGGTTTTTTTAACTTCAGTGTCGAGTTGGTGTATAGTATTGAGGGCTATCTGCGAGAAATAAATCCTTTTTTCCGATAGATTAACTAAATTCAAAACCAATATAAAAATAGTTAACACATATATTTTATTTAACTGAGTAAATTGATCGGAATGTGAATGATACATAAACCTAAAATTCGTTTTGGTCTATCCCAGTGATGACATTTGCGCGGGAATTTAGTCCATTGACATCGTAATATAATTTACTTTGGATTATAATTATCTTTAGATGTAATGTTACAGGATTTAATGTGAAATTATTTGTCTCTTCTTTTATAGTACACGAGTTTGACGTCAGGTTTGTACACATGAAGTCTCTAGTCTAAAAAAAAGCCAGTGACAGAACGATAAACAGATAAGCAACTGTCTAGGGCCAAGTAAGGGAGGTGAAAAAGCCAGTATTACGCAGAACGATAAACAGTTACATAGACGGATCCAGGGGATGGGGAAAATTTGGTTGATTTTATTGGGAAGCAGGGGCGGATCCAGCCATTTTATAAAAGGGGGGTTCCCAACTCGGGACAAAGGTTGGGGGGGAGGATGTGCTCCAACTATGTGTCCCCATTCAAATGCATTGATCGTCCAAAAAAGGGGGTTTCCAACCCTCGGAACCCTCCCCCCGGATCCGCCACTGGGGAAGCATGACGAGAGTGGGCAACCCTTAGGTCAGTCAGCGGCCACCCCCCTTTTATGAAAAGTTGTGGATCCGCCACTGAGATTTATATAAGCAGGTTTTCTTTGTGTAGATACCTTAAAATATCACCAACTATGACTGAGTTCACAATTTGATTCATTTTAGCTCATTAGCTGGGGTCACTCGCTAAAAAAGTTCATTGCGGGCCTGCTCACTGGCTAACATTTTACGATATTCATGACTCGTGTAGAAAAGCCAATAATCTATACATGTGTGTGAGGAGTAGTTATCAAGCTTGCTTTCGTCTGTAAAAACTGTCTTTGGCCAAGTTAGGGTGGTGAAAAAGCCAGTAATAGAACGATAAACAGATGATCAGGTTTTCTTCATATAGATCCCTTAAAATATCCCCCACTGAAGACACAATTTGATTCATTTTAGCTCATTAGCTGCGCTCACTCGCCATAATAGGTTCATTGCGGCTTACTGGCTATTATGTGTAGAAAAGCTGATAACCTATACATACATGTACATGTATATGGTCAGATCATATGTTTTCGTACGTCATATGAATTTGTACTATGCATGCCTTTTCAATGGAAATTGTGACGACAGTATGCATTCTTAATAGCATGAAAGATGATGAGAAGAGGATACATATGTCAACCAAAATTTTTCAGCAACGTCAAAATATGTGAGGAAAACCTATCAAGATCTATTAAGCTTGCGTTCATGTTGCGTTAAAACTGTTTTAGGAAGGTGAAAAATACCAACAATATAACAATAAATAGCTATAGATAATCGATATTGTAAAACCATAAAATAAAACTGATTTAATTTGCACCACAACTGTTGAAAAAAACCTTTATGTTTATATAATTTATCTCATTCTAGTCCATTCAACTGACAGAATCGGTGTACATTTCATGAACTCTTTAATAACAATAATCTTTATGGACTATTCTTTATAGCAATATCTGTTGACCATTTAGGGGTCTTTTGCATTCAAAGTTTAGTTTCAGTGGGTTTATTTTGCGAAAAAGAACTCAATTTCCAGATCAAAGTTAACATTTTCTATATATTTTGCTGTGTCAAAATGACCTAATGAATATAAAGGACAGTACCCATATAGACCCAAAAATGGTATATCACATTCTACACATGACATTTTAGCAGGAAAGACTGCCATTGGAGTATATAACTTTTAACCTGTGTATATATAATTAAAATATGATAATAAAATTCATGTCTTTTTCAGGACTTCTGATCGAACCATGTAGTATGGCATGTTTGTGAGATATGGTTTTGGTGGATAGGATGTTCATGAAGGACCTGTAGTACAAAGTATATCACTGGATTGAGCTCTTTGTCTAAGTGTATTATTAAAGTGCTTTGCTTTGAGCTCAGTTCATTGTTATGCAATTCATTCTTTGTGAAATAAAGATTTGACAGACAACTCTCATGTACAAGGATTTGTCAGGGTAGTATCCATTCTATGTACAATGTAACAGTAAGTAATAAGGAGATAAAAGCATTTTATTATGATTTGAACCAAACATTTTTTGTCCATTAACCAAATTTAAAAAAAAGAACAAATTTACCCGACAATGCTACACTCGCTACTAGCAATATGATGCTAGGTTGTTTTAGTACATCTGTACTGCCTACTGATGACTCGGTCCTGAGTGTAAATGGTCATTCAGTATGTTAAAAAAAAAATAAAATTTATAAGGCCTATCTGGCCTAATTGATTTCTAAAACTATATTTCATTGTACATGTTCAACATTTTTCATTCATTTGTTTATTTCTTAATTTGTGTGAATTAACATTGTTACAGTCATGACAGTAAATGTTAATCACTACACTTTCATTCCACAACAAATACTGTATTGGTATCACTTATATTTGTATCCATATAAAAAAAAAATTGAAAGAATAATTTTGCAATACCTTTTTCATATTGAATACTATAACTTTTTTGATATTAAGACATATTAAGTAGATTTTCATAATACCCACTTGACATGCTTGAAATTCTATCAGATTATTTTTGGAGCAGTTATGAGTCTTTGAAGCATGCTCACAAAGGTTTTTTTGTTGATATCGTTTTCATATTGGTCAAAACTTTTTTTTGCTTCGGCCAGCTTTGGAGGAGATGTTATCAAAGAATTGATAAAAAACAACACAGAAGTTTACTTTCTAGCTCATCTAGCCCCAAGCATCATGTCAGGCATTTTCATTACTAAAAACCAATAAATGTCTTCTAATCTGAGAAACAATTTCGACATTTTAACAAAATATTTTACTAATGATACTGACAATCCACCACAAAGTAATATAAATAGAACCATACAAATAGTGAGCAAATACATATAAAAAAGATGTGGTATGATTGCCAATGAGACAATTCTCCACAACAGACCAAAATGACACAGAAATTAACAACTACGGGTCACCGTACAGCCTTCAACAATGAGCAAAGACCATAACGCATAGTCATTTATGTTATTTATGTACACAAAATAAACGAAAAAGAAATATTATGCAACACATAGACAAACCACAACCACTGAATTACAGCCTCCTGATATCATGTTCTCAGATATCATCTCCCATTTAAAAAAAAATCACATGAAAAAATGAACCTATTATGTGTTGCTCTCCTAGCTACAAAATGTATCCAAAATCAAAGATGTGGAAAATATTCTATCATAATCATTTGGTCATTAATGCAATTAGTGTCTCTTCAATGCCCTCTTGAACATAAAATCTAAATATTAAATAAACAACACTCCTCATGCTCAGGTTGGTTGTCATCGTGCAACACAGTTAATAACACCATATAGGAAAAACATAGAACTCCTTTTTTCATATAAAACACTGTCAAACATCCAAACATACTATCCACATTCATCTGTGTCCACACTTGTTAGAACAATACAATATAAAAATAAGAAGATGTGGTATGATTGCCAATGGGACAACTCTCCACAAGAGTCCAAATGACACAGAAATTAACAACTATAGGTCACCGTACGGCCTTCAACAATGATCAAAGCCCATAGTCAGCTATAAATACAAGCATTTCAAAAAAAGATGTGGAACCCTGTCAAATTAAGAAAAGATTGAGTTAAAGTCTATACAGTAACTTTCTTTCACTTGCAGTATATTTATTTGCCAATTTGCTTCTTTTTTTTTTTTGGCAGCAGAAATATCCTTAAAAAATACTCAGTTTATTTCCTTATCAATTGATTACGCTTGAGCATTTGCAATAATTAGGAAAATGGGTTATAAATCATTCGTAAATATAAATCAACATGACATGTAGACATCTTATACGTTCAGGAATTTCACATCCAATATTTTATGGTAATATTCTTTACAAAGCACAAAAATGTCGGCATTCACCTCAAAAGCCAACCAAACCTTTAAACAGACTTATTCGGAAAGGATATAGTTACGATACTGTTGTCAGGTCATTAAGGATTGCATATTTTGGTATTAATATTGATTCACTCATAGGGTCTTTGCATCGGAAATAAACACTATTATTCTAAAACCTGTTGTTGGCATGATACGGGTTATGTTCTTCTCATATATTTTATGATTGTATGATACTAAACCCCTAACGGGAGGGATTGTTCTTGATTTTCATAAGATGAAGACATAATCTATCAATCAGTTTAACTGAGGTCTGGAGCTGGCATGTCAGTAACTGCTAGTAGTCCTTTGTTAATTTATGTATCATTGTCTTTTTGTTTATTTTCTTTTGTTACCTATTCTGACATCGGACTCGTACTTCTTTTAAACTGAGTTTTACTGTGCGTATTGCTATGTGTTTCTTTATTCTACATTGTTAGAGGTATAGGGGGAGGGTTGAGATCTCACAAAACATGTTTAACCCTGCCGTATGTTTGCGCCTGTCCCAAGTCAGGAGCCTCTGGCCTTTGTTAGTCTTGTATGTTTTTTTTTAATTTTAGTTCATTTATATGTTTTGGAGTTTAGTGTGACGTCCATTTTCACTGAACTAGTACACAATTTTATTTAGGGGCAAGCTGAGGACCACCTCCGGGTGCGGGATTTTCTCGCTGCGTTGAAGACCCATTGGTGGCCTTCGGCTGTTGTCTGCTCTTTGGTCGGGTTGTTGTCTCTTTGACATATTCCCTATTTCCATTCCAATTTTATACACACTCACGATTTTGTTACGACACTACATACGGTTTAATAGCGTTATAGAGTAGAAATTGTGATGACGTTACAGTAGACATCAATAACGTCGCCGAATGTTTTTATTTTTTCCGCTAAAAATCAAACTTCCACAGGATATAGCTTGAAAACTAGCACGGTTGCTAAGGACTTTCTTTGCACCAATGGGTTCGTTGTTCATTTTTGAATCGCATATCGATTTTTAAAAAAAATTCTGTGGACCAACGAATTAGAAAATCTTGATAAAGTAAAAATATCAGCTGATTTTTATGATTTTCCCTATATATCCTTTGTATTTTTGGCGTATCAAGCTGTTAATTTCAACAGCTTGTATCTGAAAAACGAAAACGGTTACCCCCTTTTTTTATTTTATTGTCTGATGTATTTTTACAAGCAGAATCCACATGTAAAATTTTAAAAAATTCTGTGGAGTAGTTAATTACGTACACTTCGCCTTAATTAAAAGACACACTTTAATTTGAAAAATAAGGTAAATCACATCCACAAGAAAATGAGCCAGATCATGTTCATGGACAACGTAGGCATCTCCTTCTATGCATGTATCACCCGTCATGCAATTCGGCCTTAATCATGATAAGTGGCAATGGTCAAGACCAAAATCAATTCAAACCGATAATAAATCGTAATGGACAACATTGAACATATTACTCTATGATCAATGACAGAGTAGTTTTAGATACCAAAAAAAAAAAAACCCAGTAGCATTTAATAAATTCCTTTGTTCTATTTGTGTATAAAACTATCCGGATGTGATTAGACGTATATCCGCCTTTTCAATTTAAGGAGGACGTCCACAAAATACAAGAGAACGTACAATTTAAATATGACAAATTTTTAGTGGAAAAAAAAATATTATGGATTTATCAAACTATTTGATAAGCATAACAGTGAAGTAAATGCCTATACAACGAAACAGTGAATCTTATATGATTTTACAGGCCTACACATAGTATCAAAAATGTTCAACCGAATTTTATATTTTCAGTCTGAAAATTGGGGTTGTAATTGATTTTTCATTCCCATTTCCTCGTATATGTCAGTTTTAATTGATGGTGCAATCTTTCAAGGCATACATAAAGAAACATTAACTATTATGACCGTAACCAGGATTAGAAACCTTGAACTAGTCGAGTTGGCGTATTTATAATTTTTACAGGAAAGTATGTTAATTGTCTGTTATTTGTCTTTTTATAGACAGAAGAAGCTAAAGAGGACGTTTGCCAAGATCAATGTTCCTATTTCCAGACTTGTTTTTTCCACTTAAATGGAGCTGATTGCTGGAGTCAAAATACTCACTGTAGCAGTACGTACAATTAAACTGTAAAATAAGAAAAAAACCATATAGTTTTAATGGAGGCACAAAATATAGCATATATATAAATCCGACAAGCTATGGACTCAATAGACTGAAATTAAATTATATTTCTTCCTATAAAACCCTTGTCCCTACTCATAGCCTAATCATTTCATGTTCTGGAGGTGGGACTAATCAGATAATATTTGTGTGGAGCAAGCCGCTGTTAATATTCATGAAGCCTGCGATTATAATTCATTGGAAGGGAATCCGTTTCCTGAAATGTTGTTTGCAACTATCGATAATACTTCTTAATACTAAATATTGTTCATAAAAATAGTTTGGTGCTTTCTACAATTAATATGCAGGATTTGTGAGTGAGAGCAATACCTGCTGTTTTATTAATCAAATAGAGATTTGAGTGTTATATATTTTCTCCCGAATATTTCCGAAAATACACACTAGATGTATAAAACTCACTAAATCTTCGTCTTAGATTATTTCCAACATAAGACTATATGTACATGAAGAAACACGAAAAGAAGCAAGTACATACCTATTCTTTCTGCTCTATCATCAGTTTAATGTCTTAAAGTATTTACTTTATTTACATTCTGTTTATCAAATTAAAAAACATATAAAAGATATATATAAAATATGGTTACCCATGTATATATGATAAACACTGTATACATTTATATATATTATAGAAAAAACATATAAAAATATATTTGAAAATATCTTGTACGTTTAGATTGACAAAATACTAAATATTATACATGTTGATGTAAGGATAGAAAAAGTCACAGTTGTCGTCCTTCTTATACGAAATATCTAAATACACGTTATTTTACAGTAGATATTCATTTATTAAACATTCTTTTATGTGAAATATTCTTCAATACATATTTTCAGTAAGAAGCTCGAAAAACGATATAAATAGAATGAGAAGAGACTGCTTGACAAATACTGGTTGGGATAACTAATGCTTTGGATTAAATACACATAGATGGTTTGGTAGTCTAGCTCTCATCGCTGTAGAAAAGATCGCAAATGCACATACAAATGTAGTTGGCATATTTATCAATTCATTAGTCAAATTCACACAACCATGCATATCAATTTTGTTTTGTATAGACAATAACAGAGTTGGCTTTCACTGTTGTTACATTGGTAATTACAATTCAGTACATGGATTCGTCTTGTAAAATCATCACTTTGTAATAATTTGTGATAAAATGGTATACAGTACATCTCTAATTATGTAATTTTTCAGAAATAGAACCTTTCAAACAAGGTAAAGGAAGCTTTGCCTTCTTGATGATACTCACCGTAGTGTGCATCAGCTTGAGTATTGCCCTGGTCGTCATATGTATAAGGAAATGCAAGAAGAAGCGGTCAACATCTCCGATGAGATCCTGGCCGACATATCAAAACAGTTACATTGGACATGAACAATATGTTCAATTTGTCAACCGATATCCAGGTACATGTAATATTTAACTGACGTCTTCTGGCAAAAGACAATTCCCTATATTTATCGTATATCATTTAAGCATAAACTTACAACAATGATTGAAATCGTCCCTGTTTACTTTGAGAAAATACGTTTATTTATTTAATTATAAGCAACTGCAAGTAAATTATCGCAACACGAACACAGATGTTTTGATAAGATAACCATTGCTTTTCGAAACAATGATAATTATTCGGTTTTGTTTGCAATTGGTTTCATTTAATTTAATAATACAGAAAAAAAACTTTTTCAGAACAAAAAGATCTTTATGTCTTATTCCTGCTATTAACACTGATTAGTTTTTATACAAAAAAGTTCAAGTCCAAATGTTAATAGGGTTTTTGGATTACGTGTTTATATGGCATATTGTTTTCTTAAATATACCACAAAATAGTTAATCAATATTATATTGCAATACATTTTTGATAGAAAGATTTAGCACACATGCTTTATTTTTATATCTGATGTTAGTGATTATGGAGTTATCTGGTATAACCCCCTTAGGACCTCTTTAGATGACAATATCAATAGTGATAAAACATGTACCTAACTTCAAAGCATTTTCTAGATATTATGTACATGTATACCGGATAGTCTTGGAAAAATCTTTAGAAAAGATCATTAAGGAGTAATTGGTTACGTAGAACAGGCATTTTCGTAAGAAAGTAAATCAGGTTATACAGCACGCAAAACCATCTACTTGTATGACAGCCATTTCAGTTCCAATTACGTATCTTGGTGTCATCAATGTCCCAATTAGGGTGTGGTTGTTTTATTCGCACAACTAACCGGACACGACTATTTACACATCCCATACAGTCAATTCTCCCCAGAGAGTACATTTGTGCGTCTAAAAGGAAAGGATGGTGGTATACTATCACATATGCATTGGGTTTAAAGTCCCAAATAAGCACTGGAAGTAAGCCGCCACACGTATAAAGGCTACGAACATATCAAGTTGGAAGATGTAGAATAAATTTTTAGAACGACGAAAAACTAAAGGCAAAATAGTTTTTTTTCGCATTCATTTTATATACTTTCATTATTTTGATAATTCATGAAATTAAGGACTGACAATTTTTAGACACTGTTTTTATTTAAATCGTTTCTTTGTATATTCAATTGTTATAGGTTGCTTATAAGAAAATGTTTTATGGGAGTGAGGGGGCCCTGCGTTTTTCATTGTTTGTCAGGTTTTACAGCTATTTGGTAATCATTAAATCACATGGGATCACCCCGGTTTTTTGGTGGGATTCGTGTTGCTCAGTTTTAGTTTCCTATTTGTGTTTTGTATTCTGTTATTTGTCTTTTAATCGTTTTACGTGTTTTGTTTTTGCCATGGCCTTGTCCGTTTTTCATCGACTTACTAGTTTAAGTACCCCTTGAGTATTGTTCGCCTCCATTTTGATTTTGATGATATGTTGAAGGCTATTTAATGTTGGTGTTTCATGTGTTGCTTTTGTAGTCAGCAACAATCTTGGAAATCAGCAAATACCTGGAAGCAGTGGAAACAATGGAAACAGCAGAAATCTGCCCACATATGACGAGGCGGCAGGTGAGTGGATTTTTAAAGTTCATACGTGATTAGCTTCAAACATTTTCAAAAAGTAAAAACAACTAAGAAAATGCATTTTTGCAGGTTATTATCTTGCTTGTTTTTATATTTGTTTACATGAATATATTTTAAACTTGAACAATCCCAACATAAGTTAGTGCAATTTGTACAAAATGTTGATGAGGTTATAGGGTTTATGTCAAAGGTTCTAAATTTCCATGTAAGTTATGAATATACGATCAAAAGAAACAAATGTTTCATTCGTTTCAATATCAAAAAGTCACTTCTCTTATTAATGAATTCGAAGATGCTTACTACTAATTTTTATGTCCCTCGGAATTTGAGTTGCATTATTTGTACACCTTCCACTAATAAATGTCAGGTGAACTCGTTTTGTGAAAACTTAACCAACCTTATATTTAATCAATTAAATCGTTTTTCCTGACAAACTAAATTACCCGAATCACATGAATGAATATTATCGTGTCGAAGAATATTCATAGTTACTAAAGGCAAGCACATAATTTAGATACTTTTTACCACCACAGTGCCACTTTTCATGCTTGTTTTCCTAGACTTTCGACATTTTTCAAGACACTATCCGGAATATTTTTGTTATTTGAAAAGATGTCCATGCCATCCCTAGTGTGACCATCTACATTGATGATACTATAATACTTCTTGTTATCATTTAGGAGCAAAAAGGCCCGAGGTGAACGTAAGAAATAATCAACAACTAAGAGAAACCCCGACTGCACCTGGTCATGGTAAATATGTAACTCATTATTCATATTATAATCCAAGTCAGAATACTGTCTTAGCCACTAATTGTTTTAGTTTGATAGTTATTTGCATAAATCAGGTCGTTGTTTTTAGCTTTTTAAAATTGTTTCATATTATTCATGTCGGCCTTTCATTGCTTAATATTTGGGTTTTGATCATTGCTGAACCTGTCCTCGTCCTGTGGTCTATGCTGGATAATGATCTTATCGACAATCCTAGCACATCTCCTAATTTTTATAAAAGTAATAGTAAGTATTAAAAAAAATAAACTTACCTAGCTAATTATGCCTTTTCAAACATGATTTGATTTAAATTAATTTGTGATCGTATATACAGCTAGTATAACTGGAAGGGATAATTGCTGAATCACTTTTTTATGGTTGTATAGAATAGAGAATGGAAACGTGGAATGTGCCAAAGAGACAACAATACGACCAACGAGTAGAAAACAGCTCAACGCAAACAATGGGTCTTAAATGTTTGCAATGTTGCAAACTGGTGTAATTTTGGCAACGAGAATGACCGATGAAGACTGTATTTCTAACAAAAACCTTTATTTTCGAATTTTTTTTATCTACCCTAATATAGTGTATTTATATATTTTATACGGTGTACATAATACCCAGAATGTCAAATAATTACTGAACTGGATGTGCAGTGTAAACATATGTGTGCTTATAGGGGAGATAACTTCAATTAGTAGTATTTCTCTTCGATCGGTTACTTTATAGGATCGTATTATAGTCTCACACTTATATATTACTTGGAGAGGAGTCTGTACCTAGTTCGGCTAAAAAAATGTTATTGCAAACGTTACCAATTTTTTACTATGGTGTTTGTGGTTTTCAACAACTGTCTTTTGCAATACGTTATAATTACAATGACAATATAAAAAAGAACAACCTCACATGATGTGAGTTTCATTGTAGTAATAGAAAAAACAAAGGATATGGTTTATCCACCATGACACAAAATCAGTACATGCACGGCAAAAACACACAAATTGCAAAGGAACAGCGCTTTTATTGCGGTTCTTCATCTGAAAGAGCGAAATTCTTTGCAAAATGAGATTCAGATAGACTTTGTAAGCATACTGGTCCGGGTACACAGTTATCGTCCTTTGATTTTCGTTGTCCACGAATATAGTCCCTAGTGTGGACAGTGTGTTACTTGTCGATTTTTTTGATACCCCTTCCGAATTTATTTCTCTATGTTTTATGACTCAAATAGTAAGTAGGGGGGTGAAATGACACTGTAAAAAAATTTGGGTCATGAATTTTAAAGTAAAGTAGTGATTTGGTCCAGCTGAAAAATGTTAAAAATTAGCACTTCGGAGGCTGTCAAAAGATTTGAAGACCCCCTCAGCATGAAATTGTCCATATTTTGAGTTAGAGCCGATGAAGTTTTCTATAATTTTGATATAATTTGTCCCAAAAGTAGTACAACACACTGTAAAAATATTATTGAGAAAGCGCAGGTGGGATTTTTTTAATTTTCATTTATTGTCTAAAAGAAATGCACTACGAAATAACTGTGTACTCGGACCTAAGAGGTGAAATCAGGAAATATAGAATCTGTACTTTGGCAACTTCCCTGAATGATTTGATGGTGTCAATTTATCAAATAGCATAAAACTAAAGGATTAAAACTTTTATTTGATAGAATTTCTGCAAAAATGACCAATTTTGGCATTTTATGGTCAAAATAAGCATTTCATAGCTTTTTCAATTTTGATGCATAAGTGGCATTCTGACTTTCTATCTGACAGGTTTTTATGTGTCAATATTTGTGTTTCTATGCTTCAATCCAGTTGTATTACTCATTTGTGAACTCTGAATCTACAGAAAAGAAGATTATCTCAGACAATATGTTCAAAATGTGTTGTATATATGGTCCTCGTCTAACGCCCTGTTTGGATCGAGTTAAATGTGAGGAGCTTGGAACATAAAAGTTGAAGTCCATTATAAAGACCTCACTAAACTTGTATAAAAAGCACTTAACAATGTCTTTTGTACCTGTTTTATGTCACATAATATCTTTTTTTTCTTCTGTAGGATAGCAAGTGGTTCAAATATAAGCCTGTTGAGACTAAAATTGCATGCATGTTTTTCACTAAAAAGTGAAAAATCTTTGTATCAGACCATACTGTTTGCAAAAAAAGTTGAATTCAAGAGTCTTTTTGTGCTCAGATTTATTGTATCATGTCACCTGAGTATAGAAATGATAGAAAAGACACAAAATTTTATTTCATATAGCTTCAATATGCATTTTTAAATGTAAATATGTGATACGGCCTAAATTGACCCTAAATTATTTTCAGTCTTACTTGGCCTAAGACCCTTTTAAACTAATGTGATATGTTATTTGTAAGTTTTCTTTCCATTTAAAGTACATTAAATACATATATAAGGATTATTTATAACCAAAAAGCTTTACAAATTTAAAATTGCTGGAAAATATTACATCTTCCTGTAAGGCCCCCCTTCATTGGAAAACCTCCATTTTTAGCCACAGGCTCATATAAATTTGACTTTTTAATAATTATGATAAGTCTGATAAATCAAATGAGTACTCTATTGCTTTTAATACATAATATATTATATATTAAGGCATTTCAAAAGTATTTTTTTGCAATATTTAAATTTTTTAAGCCCCAAATGTTGATAGTTGAAAATTTTCAATTTTAACATCTAAATTTAACACTCAAAGTTGAATATAGAATTAGTCATATTGTCTATAATATATATCCTATTGCCATGAAACTTTGTAAGCAGTCTTATAATTTAATATGCTTTGGTCATACCAAGTTTCATTAAGATTGGTCAACTTTTTCTACCCTATTAGGTCCGGGTACACAGTTATCGTCCTTTGATTTTCGTTGTCCACGAATATAGTCCCTAGTGTGGACAGTGTGTTACTTGTCGATTTTTTTGATACCCCTTCCGAATTTATTTCTCTATGTTTTATGACTCAAATAGTAAGTAGGGGGGTGAAATGACACTGTAAAAAAATTTGGGTCATGAATTTTAAAGTAAAGTAGTGATTTGGTCCAGCTGAAAAAATGTTAAAAATTAGCACTTCGGAGGCTGTCAAAAGATTTGAAGACCCCCTCAGCATGAAATTGTCCATATTTTGAGTTAGAGCCGATGAAGTTTTCTATAATTTTGATATAATTTGTCCCAAAAGTAGTACAACACACTGTAAAAATATTATTGAGAAAGCGCAGGTGGGATTTTTTTAATTTTCATTTATTGTCTAAAAGAAATGCACTACGAAATAACTGTGTACTCGGACCTAAGAGGTGAAATCAGGAAATATAGAATCTGTACTTTGGCAACTTCCCTGAATGATTTGATGGTGTCAATTTATCAAATAGCATAAAACTAAAGGATTAAAACTTTTATTTGATAGAATTTCTGCAAAAATGACCACTTTTGGCATTTTATGGTCAAAATAAGCATTTCATAGCTTTTTCAATTTTGATGCATAAGTGGCATTCTGACTTTCTATCTGACAGGTTTTTATGTGTCAATATTTGTGTTTCTATGCTTCAATCCAGTTGTATTACTCATTTGTGAACTCTGAATCTACAGAAAAGAAGATTATCTCAGACAATATGTTCAAAATGTGTTGTATATATGGTCCTCGTCTAACGCCCTGTTTGGATCGAGTTAAATGTGAGGAGCTTGGAACATAAAAGTTGAAGTCCATTATAAAGACCTCACTAAACTTGTATAAAAAGCACTTAACAATGTCTTTTGTACCTGTTTTATGTCACATAATATCTTTTTTTTCTTCTGTAGGATAGCAAGTGGTTCAAATATAAGCCTGTTGAGACTAAAATTGCATGCATGTTTTTCACTAAAAAGTGAAAAATCTTTGTATCAGACCATACTGTTTGCAAAAAAAGTTGAATTCAAGAGTCTTTTTGTGCTCAGATTTATTGTATCATGTCACCTGAGTATAGAAATGATAGAAAAGACACAAAATTTTATTTCATATAGCTTCAATATGCATTTTTAAATGTAAATATGTGATACGGCCTAAATTGACCCTAAATTATTTTCAGTCTTACTTGGCCTAAGACCCTTTTAAACTAATGTGATATGTTATTTGTAAGTTTTCTTTCCATTTAAAGTACATTAAATACATATATAAGGATTATTTATAACCAAAAAGCTTTACAAATTTAAAATTGCTGGAAAATATTACATCTTCCTGTAAGGCCCCCCTTCATTGGAAAACCTCCATTTTTAGCCACAGGCTCATATAAATTTGACTTTTTAATAATTATGATAAGTCTGATAAATCAAATGAGTACTCTATTGCTTTTAATACATAATATATTATATATTAAGGCATTTCAAAAGTATTTTTTTGCAATATTTAAATTTTTTAAGCCCCAAATGTTGATAGTTGAAAATTTTCAATTTTAACATCTAAATTTAACACTCAAAGTTGAATATAGAATTAGTCATATTGTCTATAATATATATCCTATTGCCATGAAACTTTGTAAGCAGTCTTATAATTTAATATGCTTTGGTCATACCAAGTTTCATTAAGATTGGTCAACTTTTTCTACCCTATTAGGTCCGGGTACACAGTTATCGTCCTTTGATTTTCGTTGTCCACGAATATAGTCCCTAGTGTGGACAGTGTGTTACTTGTCGATTTTTTTGATACCCCTTCCGAATTTATTTCTCTATGTTTTATGACTCAAATAGTAAGTAGGGGGGTGAAATGACACTGTAAAAAAATTTGGGTCATGAATTTTAAAGTAAAGTAGTGATTTGGTCCAGCTGAAAAAATGTTAAAAATTAGCACTTCGGAGGCTGTCAAAAGATTTGAAGACCCCCTCAGCATGAAATTGTCCATATTTTGAGTTAGAGCCGATGAAGTTTTCTATAATTTTGATATAATTTGTCCCAAAAGTAGTACAACACACTGTAAAAATATTATTGAGAAAGCGCAGGTGGGATTT